GTGATATATACACAGTAAACATTTTAATCAAAATATCTTCAAATAGGTAACAAGTGAACAAGGGTTCCAAATGCCCTGTATCCCTCACATGTTTTTCAAAACACACACATCAGACATACTCGGTGAGTGACTTTCACAGTGGCACAAGATTAGATTTACAGCAAGCCACAGGCCAAATGTAACTCCTTTAGGACTTTTAGACAATAGGCCCAGAGGGCCTGTATCGCTCACCTGAATATTATACTGTACTACAAATATTTCACTCGCAAACTTTGTCCGCTTCATCTGTTAAAATATTATTATAAGATTCTATGCTTTTTGGTTCTTGTTTGACATATTTTCCCCCCTGTTACCTTGAAAGTAGGTCAAGGTCATTTTAATTTTCAAACTTTGTCAGGCTCTATCCCAGGAGGCCACCAGCCAAATATGAAGATTCTATACCTTTTGGTTCTTCAGAAGAAGTCGTTTGAAGAGTTTGACATATTTGACCGCTGTGATCTTGAAAGTAGGTCACTACGACAGGGTAGATACCGATGGAGGCACGACAACGTCTTGCGGGTCCTAGCGGATATCCTTGAAGTGGAGAGAAGGAAGAAAAGAACTGGTGTAAGAACAAACCAGGCTGGTATCAAGTTTGTGAAACCAGGGGAGAAAGCCACAGTGAAGCCTCGAAGCACCTCATCCATCTTTGAACGGGCGTCAACATGGGAGATGAAGGTTGACCTTGACAGGAAGCTTGTGTTTCCAGGAATAGTGGAAACAACACTGAGGCCTGACATGGTAATCTGGACAGAGCAATCCAGACACCTCATCGCCATAGAGCTCACCGTACCATGGGAGGAAGGCTGCGAGGAAGCTCACGAGAGGAAGAAAGCCAAGTATGATGAGCTGATGGAAAAGTGCAGGAGCAGAGGATGGACAGTATGGCTCTTTCCAGTGGAGGTTGGCTGTAGAGGTTTCCCCGCACAGTCAGTGTGGAGGACACTACGGTCAATAGGACTCACTGGGAGGGCAAGAGCTACCGCCATCAGACGATTGGGAGAAGCTGCAGAGAGAGCATCGTGCTGGCTATGGCACAAACGAGATGAGCCGATGTGGAAGCCGACATAGACGAGTAGTGGTTTGGCCACCACTACTGACCCACCAGCCGGAGGATGTAGTGATTAAGGGTCGAAACATCTGAAGAGGGCTGGCCATCACCTGATGACGTCAAATGAGGCTTCGCGACTAGAATGACAGCAGTGACGGACTACAAGTCAAGGATGTCACAAGATGCAGAATCACCATCATCTGTAAGCAATCATCATTTTTCTGAGAAATCAGTGACTTCCAGGAAAGGCTGGATGGAAACTGGGGAAGACCAGTGACGCTGGAGAGACAGATGACATCCAGAAACAGACTGGAGCAGGGTACTTTGTGTCAGCAACTCGAAGTATAGCTCCCGCAAGGGGGCACCTATATCAAGCTACAGAACAAAGAAAAGAGCAACACCCCCAGAGCCTCCCGAGAGGGGGGGAGGATGAGAGGCTCACTCGGACAGATCAAACGGAAACGACCAGGACACGGACAAACACAACGATGATCCAAACAACGTTAAGTGGAGAGCCAGTCGAAGCACGATGCCATTGTGGAAAGATATGCAAGAACAGCAGAGGGCTGAAAATCCATCAGGCAAGGACCAAATGTGGCCATAGGGAGATACTAACGCAGCGCACAGATATCAGCAATGAATCTGGTGAGACGCAGGAGGAACTCAGTCAGGAGTCAAACCATAGTACAGAGAGCCTCCAAGCTTCGGTGTCGCCAGATGGCAGCATTGGTAACTTGAATGAAGCGAGCGCCCATGGTGTTCAAGCAGTGAGGGACAGGAGATTAGACAAAGTGCAGTGGCCCAAGACAAATGACGAGGCAGCTTGGCGAAATCTTGATCAGGACCTGGAGGCTATTTTGGAGACCACTCTACAGGGGAATGTGGAGAGGAAAGTAGAAGCACTGACGTCAATTGTGTACAGTGTATGCAAAGAGCGATTCGGAGTGGAAACATCCAGAACACAACCCAGAGCAAAGACAACAAAGGAGAACAGGAGGGAACGTAAGATCAAACAACTACGAAAGGAGCTGAGGGAATTAGGAAAGAGGTTTAAAACAGCACCAGAGAGTGAAAAAGTTGGGATACAGCAGATAAGAGACGACCTTAGGGAGACACTTCGCCGCCTAAGGAATGCAGAAAGACTAAGGAAGGGAAGGAAGGAGAGAGCGAAGAGAAGAGCAGATTTTGTTAAAGATCCATTCCAGTTCTCAAAAACTTTGCTAGGAGCAGAGAGATCAGGCCATCTGGAAAGCTCGAAGGAGGAAGTGGAAGCTCATCTCAAAGGTGTCCATTCAGACAACAGGAGAGCAGAACCTTTAGGATATTGTCCAAGAATCTTAGAGGTAGAGGCCCCAAGTGCACCATTGGATACCAAACTTCCTACCTGGAAAGAGATTCAAGATGTGGTGAAAAAGGCAAGATCAGGATCAGCCCCAGGACCAAGTGGGATAACGTACAGGGTTTACAAGAAATGTCCAAGACTGCTAAGAAGACTGTGGCAGCTAATCTGTAAAGTATGGAAGAAAGGGACCATACCGGCGTGCTGGAAGAAAGCAGAGGGAATCTTTGCTCCTAAAGAGAAAGACTCCAAGACAGTTGAACAATTTAGGACCATATCGCTGCTGAGTGTCGAAGGAAAGATCTTCTTCTCGATACTTGCCAAGCGCATGACAGCCTACATGGTGGAAAACAGTTACGTCGACACCTCAAGTCAGAAGGGAGGAATCCCTGGGTTTTCAGGATGCGTAGAACATACAAGCGTCATCAGCCAACTGATCAGAGAAGCCAAGCAGAAAAAAGGTAACCTGACAGTGGTATGGTTAGATCTTGCAAACGCCTATGGATCTGTACCACACAAACTGATTGAGGCAGCCCTGGACCATTATCATATTCCGGAGCACATCCGGAAAATGATAATGAGCTACTTCGGAGGGATACAGTTGCGGTTTACAGTTGGGGAAAGCACTACAGCGTGGCAAGACCTGGAAAAGGGAATAGTTACAGGATGTACCATTTCACCTATACTCTTCATCATGGGAATGAATATCATCATCAAGGCAGCAGAGAGAGAAACCAGAGGACCTAGAATGGAGTCTGGCATCTACCAACCAGCCAATAGAGGCTTCATGGATGACCTAACGATCACTACCACCACACATGTACAGGCCAGATGGGTCTTGTCCGCGCTGGAGGAGGTAGTTACATGGGCACGGATGCAGTTCAAACCTCGGAAATCACGTTGCATGATTATGAGGAATGGCAGACTCAGCCGACAGTTTGTACTGAAGGTCCAAGAGGAGGAGATACCTTCAATCATTGGCAGCCCCATAAAGTGCCTAGGGAAATGGTTTGACGACACACTCAGTGACAGCCAGAACCACAAGAACACCCAAAGCCAAGTGCGCCAGTGGATGAAGAAGATCCACAAGTCGGGACTTCCTGGAAAGTACAAAGCATGGATATACCAGCATGGCATGCTACCAAGGCTCACATGGCTGCTGCTACTGTATGAAATACCAACCTCAACAGTAGAAGGGTTAGAGAAGATGGTGAATGGGTACCTGCGGAAGTGGCTTGGGGTCCCACCAAGTTTCACATCAGTTGGGCTGTACAGTTGTTCGGCAGAACTACAACTACCATTCAAATCGGTCGTTGAAGAGTTCAAGGTAGCAAAATGCAGGCTGGTGATGACTCTGAGGGACTCCAAAGACGTGAAAATCAGCGAGGCAGGGATACAGACAAGAACAGGGAGAAAGTGGTCAGCAAGCACTGCAGTTGGTGAAGCAGAGAGTATGCTCGAGTTGAAGGATATCATCGGGAATACCTGCGTCGGAAGACAAGGAGTTGGCTTCTCTCATTTCCAGCAGTGGGAGAAAGCAAATACCCAAGAAAGACGGCAAATGGTGCAGAAAGAAATCAGAAGGATTGAGGAGGAAAGGAGGAGAGGGAAATCTGTAGAACTCAGCAAACAGGGTGCGTGGACCAGATGGAATCTCCCAGAGAGGAAGATGACGTGGGCTGAAATATGGAGAATGGAGCCCTTCCGGATATCATTTCTGCTACGATCCGTGTATGACACGCTACCATCTCCTGTTAACCTGCATCAGTGGGGATTGACGGAGGATCCTTGCTGCAAGCTATGCGGAGGAAGAGGAACAATGGCTCATATCTTGTCTGGTTGCAAAGAAGCACTACGACAGGGTAGATACCGATGGAGGCACGACAACGTCTTGCGGGTCCTAGCGGATATCCTTGAAGTGGAGAGAAGGAAGAAAAGAACTGGTGTAAGAACAAACCAGGCTGGTATCAAGTTTGTGAAACCAGGGGAGAAAGCCACAGTGAAGCCTCGAAGCACCTCATCCATCTTTGAACGGGCGTCAACATGGGAGATGAAGGTTGACCTTGACAGGAAGCTTGTGTTTCCAGGAATAGTGGAAACAACACTGAGGCCTGACATGGTAATCTGGACAGAGCAATCCAGACACCTCATCGCCATAGAGCTCACCGTACCATGGGAGGAAGGCTGCGAGGAAGCTCACGAGAGGAAGAAAGCCAAGTATGATGAGCTGATGGAAAAGTGCAGGAGCAGAGGATGGACAGTATGGCTCTTTCCAGTGGAGGTTGGCTGTAGAGGTTTCCCCGCACAGTCAGTGTGGAGGACACTACGGTCAATAGGACTCACTGGGAGGGCAAGAGCTACCGCCATCAGACGATTGGGAGAAGCTGCAGAGAGAGCATCGTGCTGGCTATGGCACAAACGAGATGAGCCGATGTGGAAGCCGACATAGACGAGTAGTGGTTTGGCCACCACTACTGACCCACCAGCCGGAGGATGTAGTGATTAAGGGTCGAAACATCTGAAGAGGGCTGGCCATCACCTGATGACGTCAAATGAGGCTTCGCGAATAGAATGACAGCAGTGACGGACTACAAGTCAAGGATGTCACAAGATGCAGAATCACCATCATCTGTAAGCAATCATCAAGGTCATTTTAATTTCAAAACTTTGTCTGGCTCTATCCTAGGAAGCTACCAGCCAAATATGAAGTTTCTTTAGATTTTAGTTCTTCAGAAGAAGTGTTGACCCCTGTGACCTTGAAACTAGGTCAAGGTCATTTTTGTTCTCAAACTTTGTCGGGCTCCTACCAACGAAGCTTTCTGCCAAATATTATGACTTTAGGCTTGTCTCAACTTCAGTTCTTCTTCAGAAGTTGTTTAAAGGAAAAGTTGACGGACGACGGACACCGCACCATGACATAAGCCCACTTGCATTTCGGGCAGGTGAGCTAAAAATGCAAACAGGTTTTCAAGTATTTGGCCTCTCTGAGCAAGAAAGAACTGTAGGCTAAAGTCATCTTTTAGGGCAAACTTGCTTGCTGTCCGTTTGTGCAAGCAATTTGTTACTGACTGAGTAGCATTACCCTCAGAAAACATGATTCAAAGCTTTTGACACATTTGACCCTGTGACACTGAAATCATGTTAAATTATGGTCCATCAGTCCAACAGAGTTGATAGTTCTTCACCCAGTATACAACCAGTAAATGTAGCTAAGCAATCTAGCTGCTTATGCAGCAGAAGATGCTTTATCATCTATTGACATTTGACCCAATGTGGGTCAAGGTCAATCATTTAGATTTATTGGTAGTGCTTCATCCAAACACTACTGGCAATACATCCTGACCCTAGGCATTTGGTTATTCAGACTTATTTGTTTGAAGTTTTTTTACACATTTAATTACAGATGTAATCCCTGCGACCTTGAAAGTGGGTCAAGGTCATTCATCTGAATACATTAATAGCCCTCCACCTTTAGAATACTACAAACCAAATACCATGATCCTAGATCTAGACCTCTTTGTTATTCAAAAGATGTTGTTTAAATGTTTTCACACCATTGAGCCCTGGGACCTTGAAAATAGGTCAATTTCTTTTATTTGAAAAACGTCATAACCCGGCCTCCAACCCATTATAAAATGTACTACTGGTCATCTATTACCAGTATGACCCTTTGCCACTTTTATTACCTCCAGAGCACGACTGAATGACCCCACATCTAATACTAAGTTTCCTCCATCTTTGTAATATCTCCTGTCAAAACAAAACATGTAATTATTACTTTCCTGTCGGAGTGCATTTTCGGAAAATATCTTTTAATTTTCATGAAGAACATTTTTGAAGTCGATCATGTCTGCTGAATTTTAGTATCTGGTTATATTTAAATTATAGATTTGTTTTCGTCCTGATTTAATTGGATCAACAAAAACCTGTCAGTTGACAAAAATCTTTTAACTCATCTTTTGAAATCACTTTTCAATAAAAGACACAATCAAAACAGAACAAAAACAATTTGTTTGCTGATTATATTAAAATCAAACTTAAAAATCAAGCAAAAGTTCTGAGTTGGAGATATGTTCAATTTTAGGCTCAAATACCCAGTCATTATTCAAGGTTTATCAAAATTCACAAATAGTTATTGTCAGCTAGTTTAAATGCAAAACAGTCAATTGCATGCACTTATCTGACCATACCCTTTGCCCAGGGAGAAGAGGATGGGCTTATCCAATGATATCAGAGTCTGAAAGGTCTTGTTTAGGTTTGCATAGGAAAACTCATCAATGGCATCCCCCACTACCACACAATTGGGATTATCCGTCGCCACATCGCCAAAATCTGCTAATGCACCTGACAGACCCGAAGTTCAGTTAAATGTTATCAACATCAATGTTTTTAGTATTCAATAATATATACTTTAGCTGCCATTAAACCCAGTATCCATCCCTAGTGCTAGAAACCCAGTATCTATCCCTAGTGCTAGAAACCCAGTATCTATCCCTAGTGCTGGAAACCCAGTATCTATCCCTAGTGCTGGAAACCCAGTATCTATCCCTAGTGCTAGAAACCCAGTATCTATCCCTAGTGCTGGAAACCCAGTATCTATCCCTAGTGCTAGAAACCCAGTATCTATCCCTAGTGCTGGAAACCCAGTATCTATCCCTAGTGCTAGAAACCCAGTATCTATCCCTAGTGCTGGAAACCCAGTATCTATCCCTAGTGCTAGAAACCCAGTATCTATCCCTAGTGCTGGAAACCCAGTATCTATCCCTAGTGCTAGAAACCCAGTATCTATCCCTAGTGCTAGAAACCCAGTATCTATCCCTAGTGCTGGAAACCCAGTATCTATCCCTAGTGCTAGAAACCCAGTATCTATCCCTAGTGCTAGAAACCCAGTATTTATTCCTAGTGCTGGAAACCCAGTATCTATCCCTTGTGCTAGAAACCCAGTATCCATCCCTAGTGCTGGAAACCCAGTACCCATCCCTAATGCTAGAAACCCAGTATCTATCACTAGTGCTAGAAACCCAGTATCTATCCCTAGTGCTAGAAACCCTATATCCATCCCTAGTGTTAGAAACCCTATATCCATTCCTAGTGTTAGAAACCCAGTATCTATCCCTAGTGTTAGAAACCCAGTATCCATCCCTAGTGCTAGAAACCCAGTATCTATCCCTAGTGCTGGAAACCCAGTATCTATCCCTAGGGCTAGAAACCAAGTATCCATCCCTAGTGCTAGAAACCCAGTATTTATCCCTAGTGCTAGAAACCCAGTATCCATCCCTAGTGCTAGAAACCCAGTATCTATCCCTAGTGTTAGAAACCCAGTATCCATCCCTAATGCATGAAACCCAGTATCCATTCCTAGTGCTAGAAACCCAGTATCCATCCCTCGTGCTAGAAACCCAGTATCTATCCCTAGTGCTAGAAACCCAGTATATATCCCTAGTGCTAGAAACCCAGTATCTATCCCTAGTGCTGGAAACCCAGTATCTATCTCTAAAGTGCTAGAAACCCAGTATCCATCCCTCGTGCTGGAAACCCAGTATCTATCCCTAGTGCTAGAAACCCAGTATCTATCCCTTGTGCTGGAAACCCAGTATCCATCCCTAGTTCTGGAAACCCAGTATCCATCCCTAGTGCTAGAAACCTATTATTCATCCCTAGTGCTAGAAACCCAATATCTATCCCTAGGGCTAGAAGCCTAGTATCTATCCCTAGTGCTAGAAACCCAATATCTATCACTAGTGCTAGAAACCCAGTATCCATCCCTAGTGCTGGAAACCCAGTATCCATCCCTAGTGCTAGAAACCCAGTATCTATCCCTAGTGCTAGAAACCAAGTATCTATCACTAGTGCTGGAAACCCAGTATCCATCCCTAGTGCTAGAAACCCAGTATCTATCACTAGTGCTAGAAACCTAAATTCCATCCCTAGTGCTAGAAACACAGTATCTATCCCTAATGCTAGAAACCCAGTATCTATCCCTAGTGCTAGAAACACAGTATATATCCCTAGTGCTAGAAACCCAGTATCCATCCCTAGTGCTGGAAACCAAGTATCTATCCCTAATGCTAGAAACCCAGTATCCATCCCTAAAGTGCTAGAAACCCAATATCCATCCCTAGTGCTAGAAACCCAGTATCCATCCCTAGTGCTAGAAACCCAGTATATATCCCTAGTGCTAGAAACCTAGTATCTATCCCTAGTGCTAGAAACCCAAAATCCATCACTAATGCTAGAAACCCAGTATCCATCGCTAGTGTAGAAACCCAGTATCTATCCCTAGTGCTAGAAACCCAAATTCCATCCCTAGTGCTAGAAACCCAGTATCCATCCCTAGTGCAAGAAACCCAGTATCTATCCCTAGTGCTAGAAACCAAGTATCTATCACTAGTGCTGGAAACCCAGTATCCATCCCTAGTGCTAGAAACCAAGTAGCTATCCCTAGTGCTGGAAACCCAGTATCTATCCCTAGTGCTAGAAACCCAGTATCTATCCCTAATGCTAGAAAGAAACCCAGTATCTATCCCTAGTGCTAGAAACCTAGTATCTATCCCTAGTGCTAGAAACCCAAAATCCATCACTAATGCTAGAAACCCAGTATCCATCGCTAGTGTAGAAACCCAGTATCTATCCCTAGTGCTGGAAACCCAAATTCCATCCCTAGTGCTAGAAACCCAGTCTCTATCCCTAATGCTAGAAACCCAGTATCCATCCCTAAAGTGCTAGAAACCCAATATCCATCCCTAGTGCTAGAAACCCAGTATCCATCCCTAGTGCTAGAAACCCAAATTCCATCCCTAGTGCTAGAAACCCAGTATCTATCCCTAATGCTAGAAACCCAGTATCCATCCCTAAAGTGCTAGAAACCCAATGTCTCCCTAGTGCTAGAAACCCAGTATCCATCCCTAGTGCTAGAAACCCAGTATCCATCCCTAGTGCTAGAAGCCTAGTATCTATCCCTAGTGCTAGAAACCCAGTATCCATCCCTAGTGCTGGAAACCCAGTATACATCCCTAGTGCTGGAAACCCAGTATCCATCCCTAGTGCTAGAAACCCAGTATCCATCCCTAGTGCTAGAAGCCTAGTATCTATCCCTAGTGCTAGAAACCCAGTATCTATCCCTAGTGTTAGAAACCCAAATTCCATCCCTAGTGCTAGAAGCCTAGTATCTATCCCTAGTGCTAGAAACACAGTATATATCCCTAGTGCTAGAAACCCAGTATCTATCCCTAGTGCTAGAAACCCAGTATCCATCCCTAGTGCTAGAAACCCAAATTCCATCCCTAGTGCTAGAAACCCAGTATCTATCACTAGTGCCGGAAACCCAGTATCCATCCCTAGTGCTAGAAACCCAAATTCCATCCCTAGTGCTAGAAGCCTAGTACCTATCCCTAGTGCTAGAAACACAGTATATATCCCTACTGCTAGAAACCCAGTATCTATCCCTAGTGCTGGAAACCCAGTATACATCCCTAGTGCTAGAAACCCAGTATACATCCCTAGTGCTGGAAACCCAGTATACATCCCTAGTGCTAGAAACCCAGTATCTATCACTAGTGCTAGAAACCCAGTATCCATCCCTAGTTCTAGAAACCCAAATTCCATCCCTAGTGCTAGAAACAAAGTATCCATCCATAGTGCTAGAATCCTAGTACATGTATTCATCCCTGGATAACAACCTTTTTACTTTTCATATAGCTGGAGACTGGGCAGTGTGAGTTAATATATTTTCCACATAAGAAAGTACATTTTGGAATAAGCATTTTCTTTTCAAGCACTTGGATAAACTCCCAAGCTTTTCACAGCTGCTCCTTTGACATACATTGTATATATAAAGTATGAAAACTAGTCATTGCAAAATTAACAACATCTTCGGGCAACTGTGTTTTACTTAACTTGTCTTTGCATGTCTCTATAAAACCCTAAGTGTACTCACTGGGATGTATAAGTAGATGTGGGCGGAGTCCTCTCTCCTTCAGCACCTGGCACATAGCAGGGATTGGTGGAAAAACTTCCTCTGGTTTCATGTCAGTGAATCCAAGACGTTTCAGTTTGTCCACAAGTACCTGTCTGGTGCAAGTCGTTTCATTGGTACAGAACCGTACTGGCAGCCCAGCATCTTTTAGTCTGCAAAAAATATCTATAATTAATCAATTGTCTCATGATCGGATGACAAGATAAACTGTCAAATATGATTGGCCTGTAAGGTCAGGTAACATCTCTTCTGATAGACTGTCTAACATGTCTGGTCTCTAAAGACAGGTTGTTTCTCCTGATAGACTGTCTAACATGTCTGGTCTCTAAAGACAGGTTGTTTCTCCTGATAGACTGTCTAACATGTCTGGTCTCTAAAGACAGGTTGTTTCTCCTGATAGACTGTCTAACATGTCTGGTCTCTAAAGACAGGTTGTTTCTCCTGATAGACTGTCTAACATGTCTGGTCTCTAAAGACAGGTTGTTTCTCCTGATAGACTGTCTAACATGTCTGGTCTCTAAAGACAGGTTGTTTCTCCTGATAGACTGTCTAACATGTCTGGTCTCTAAAGACAGGTTGTTTCTCCTGATAGACTGTCTAACATGTCTGGTCTCTAAAGACAGGTTGTTTCTCCTGATAGACTGTCTAACATGTCTGGTCTCTAAAGACAGGTTGTTTCTCCTGATAGACTGTCTAACATGTCTGGTCTCTAAAGACAGGTTGTTTCTCCTGATAGACTGTCTAACATGTCTGGTCTCTAAAGACAGGTTGTTTCTCATGATAGACTGTCTAACATGTCTGGTCTCTAAAGACAGGTTGTTTCTCCTGATAGCCTGTCTAACATGTCTGGTCTCTAAAGACAGGTTGTTTCTCATGATAGATTGTCTAACATGTCTGGTCTCTAAAGACAGGTTGCCTCCCCTGATAAACTGTCTAACATATAATGTCTCTTAAGACAGGTTGTTTCTCCTGATAGACTGGCTAACATGTCTGGTCTCTAAAGACAGGTTGCCTCCCCTGATAAACTGTCTAACATATAAAGTCTCTTAAGACGGGTTGTTTCTCCTGATAGACTGGCTAACATGTCTGATCTCTAAAGACAGGTTGTTTCTCCTGATAGACTGCCTCATGTCTGATCTCTTAAGACAGGTTGTTTCTCATGATAGACTGTCTAACATGTCTGGTCTCTAAAGACAGGTTGTTTCTCATGATAGACTGTCTAACATGTCTTGTCTCTTAAGACAGGTTGTTTCTCCTGATAGACTGGCTAACATGTCTGGTCTTTAAAGACAGGTTGCCTCCCCTGATAAACTGTCTAACATATAATGTCTCTAATGACAGGTTGTTTCTCCTGATAGCCTGTCTAACATGTCTGGTCTCTAAAGACAGGTTGTTTCTCATGATAGACTGTCTAACATGTCTTGTCTCTTAAGACAGGTTGGTTCTCCTGATAGACTGGCTAACATGTCTGGTCTTTAATGACAGGTTGCCTCCCCTGATAAACTGTCTAACATATAATGTCTCTTAAGACGGGTTGTTTCTCCTGATAGACTGGCTAACATGTCTGGTCTCTAAAGACAGGTTGTTTCTCCTGATAGACTGCCTCATGTCTGGTCTCTTAAGACAGGTTGTTTCTCATGATAGACTGTCTAACATGTCTGGTCTCTAAAGACAGGTTGTTTTTCATGATAGACTGTCTAACATGTCTGGTCTCCTAAGACAGGTTGTTTTTCATGATAGACTGTCTAACATGTCTGGTCTTTAAAGACAGGTTGCCTCCCCTGATAAACTGTCTAACATATAATGTCTCTACAGACAGGTTGTTTCTCCTGATAGACTGCCTAACATATATTGTCTCTAAAGACAGGTTGTCTCCCCTGATAGACTGTCTAACATATATTGTCTCTTAAGATAAATTGTCTCCCCTGATGGACTTTCCAACATATCTGGTCTCTATAGACAGGTTGTCTCTCCTGATAGATTGTCTAACATATATTGTCTCTTAAGATAAGTTGTCTCCCCTGATGGACTTTCCAACATATCTGGTCTCTATAGACAGGTTGTCTCTCCTGATGGACTGTCTTACATATCTGGTCTCTGAAGACAGGTTTTCACTCCTGATATGTGGTCTAACAAACCTAGTCTCTTAAGACAGGTTGTGTCTTCTGATATGTGGTCAAACGTGTCTAGACTCTGAAGACTGGTTGTCACTCCTGATATGAGGTCTAACATGTCTGGTCTCTGAAGACAGGTTGTCTCTCCTGATATGTGGTGTAACGTGTCTGGTCTCTACAAACAGGTTGTCTCTCCTGATATGTGGGGTAACGTGTCTGGTCTCTACAGACAGGTTGTCTCCCCTAATAAGTGGTCTAACATGTCTGGTCTCTATAGACAGGTTGTCTCTACTGATATGTGGTGTAACGTGTCTGGTCTCTACAGGCAGGTTGTCTCCCCTGATAAGTGGTCTAACATGTCTGGTCTCTATAGACAGGTTGTCTCTCCTGATAAGTGGTCTAACATATCTGGTCCCTACAGACAGGTTGTCTCCACTGATAAGTGGTCTAACATGTCTGGTCTCTACAGACAGGTTGTCTCCCCTGATAAGTGGTCTAACATGTCTAGTCTCTACAGGCAGGTTGTCTCCCCTGATATGTGGTGTAATGTGTCTGGTCTCTACAGACAGGTTGTCTCCCCTGATAAGTGGTCTAACATGTCTGGTCTCTACAGACACGTTGTCTCCCCTGATAAGTGGTCTAACATGTCTAGTCTCTACAGACAGGTTGTCTCCACTGATAAGTGGTCAAACATGTCTTGTCTCTACAGACAAGTTGTCTCCCCTGATAAGTGGTCAAACATGTCTTGTCTCTACAGACAAGTTGTCTCCCCTGATATGTGGTCTAACATGTCTGGTCTCTACAGACAGGTTGTCTCTCCTGATATGTGGTCTAACATGTCTAGTCTCTACAGACAGGTTGTCTCCACTGATATGTGGTCTAACATGTCTAGTCTCTACAGACAAGTTGTCTCCCCTAATATGTGGTCTAACATGTCTAGTCTCTACAGACAGGTTGTCTCTCCTGATATTTGGTCTAACATGTTAGGTTTCTGAAGACATATAAGTAGTAATGAGAGATATCATCTACCTTCAAGTTTGAAATTCAGGGCAGGAAACTTAAAGCCTCTGTTCTGGCACTATAACTTTAAAAACATCACATTAAGTAGCCACATAATTTTGTTACCATGCAATTGATAGGATACTGAAAGTTCAACTGTTATCTATAATATACCACAACTTCAGATTCTTACATCGTTAAGGTGACAATCTCAGCTTGTTAGTCTACTAGAGTATCTTATCTAGACACTCACTCTACAAACTAGGCCATATAATATAATCTATAGTCACTGGCAATTGTTCAAGCCCAGGTCCACTTCACAATTTGTGTAGCATAGTGCAGAGGTAGAACATTTATATACATACAGACAGAAATGTTAAGGGTAAAAAATAGAGATACATATGTAATAGATTTTTGTCCTTACGTTTTTTCACAAATTTCTGTTTTAAGAAGATCAGGGTCATCTCCATTTGATGGGAAAATATAAATATATAGATTTCTCATATGATAGTGCAAGTCTGTGTTTAGCTGCTTGGGGACCCTGTGATACCAAGGGGCTTGTGGGAGTATATTTGCAATTTAATGCTTGAAATTTTGCTGGCTTTTGTGGTACAATTTTGAATAAATTAATCCTTATAGGGAAAGCATGTGTGCAACTCAGTTTGAATAAATTTTCCTATATGTGGGCAAATTTCTTATTTGATATTTCGGATGACATTTGTGCTGATCATATATATATGCTGTCGGCATTTTACAGCAAGGTAAGAAAGCACCTTTTTGAATTTGCTGACAAAATCATTCAAATGTTTATTTAACTTTTTTTACTTCTTATGCTAATCCATTTGCTAAAAAAAGATTATACTACATGTATAATATTTTTTACTCTCATACGTCTATTTCAATCATTGGTTACCATCTTGTGTGCTAGCTTTTCCCCATCACTCCAAACCTATATGTATATATGGGAATTCATGCGGAGTGATCACATTTACAAGACAGTCAAGTCAATGTGGCACCTAGCGAAATCAAACTGTCAGAATTGCCAAACCAGAATCAAGTACACCTTATAACTCTTTAAAACTTATATGTGTAGGGGAACTCGACAGGGTCGATCGTCAGCAACCAGCAGGCAGCTCAATTGGTAGAGTGTCTGTCTAGAGTTTGGGATGGGTTCAAATCCTCAGGCTGGCTGTCCATTTTCTCTCTCCTGTAACAGTGAAGCCAGTACCTGTAACCAATCTTTGTCTTAATTACTACGTGGTGAATGCTTGGCAAGGAGATATATCTGCACGTGTACACACTGTCGGTTGTGTAATATGTCTTCAAAGGCATTGAAAGTCACTTAGAAATCGCAAGAGGAATTAGCGGAAGTGAACTGGGTCAATCACCAGTGACCAATTGCAAGTAGACCAATTGGTTTAGTGTCTGTTTATAGTTATGAGGTCCTTGGTACAAATCTTGCCAGGGCATACATGCATTTCTCTCCCCTAGCTGTTACATCTTCTTCTTCTTCTTCTTCCAGGTAAGGAACCGAATTCAATAAATGAATGTATTTGGTTCCGCGAGAACTTTGCGCAGTGTCGGACAACACAGAAAGTATTCTCTTGGCTATTTACATTAAAACGTTCTCTATATGTATACAATTAAAATTATGTACAGGATGTTACTGTCTAGATTTTAGAGCCTTCAGGGCCGCTCTGAATCCTTCAACTGTGTTGGCTGATGTCGCTGATGTTGGTAGTTGGTTCCAGTCCCTGATGGTCCTTGGGAAGAATGATAGGCCGAAGGCATCTGTTGTAGCCCTTTCTTGGTCGAAGCGGTTTTTACCTCTGGTCCAGCTATCATTTGGCGTCAGATATTGTTGCCGATCTATGTCTATTAGATCATGTTGTATTTTAAACAGCATGGATAGCCTATTTTGTTTTCTGCGGTCTTACATATGTTTTGGAATGAAAAGGAAGTGAATTAAAAACAGCAAAATGAACTAAACGACATACCAACTAGAAGTAAAAAATATATCTAAAATATTAACAATGATGACTCCAACAACAAGATCCTTCTGAGGAACCAGTGCTGGAGAATAGCACACTATGCATGATTGAATCTACTTCTTGTTTTGAAAATGAAATATTCCCTTAAAACAAAATGGTGGCCCATTATTTAGAAATACAATGGCTTTGGCAACAGATATCATATACATACAGCTTTTGGGGTGAAATTCAAACAGAGTGGACATTGGGGGTGGGGGGGGGGGGGGGGGAATACAGTATCAGACGCTGAAAGTGAAAGTAGAATACGTTACTCGACACAACCACGCAACTGGACTGCGTATGGAAATTGAATGAAAACTTGCCTCTTGACTGCATCTATAGATCCTTGTATGGCTTCTGACTCTCCACTTTCGTATAAAACGCCTGTTATGTCCAATAAAACACCTTCAACACCGTCTGTCCATTTCCTACCACTTGTCATTTTGACTTTCTACTGACGGATGTTCGAAATGCGTGAACCTTTTTTTATTTGATAAGACTTTCGGGACATTTCAGACTTTTCCGTAGCGTTGCCACTGATCAGTTAACCTTGACATTGTCAACAAAAGATATCGGAACGTTTTGTTCAAATCATGGCGGAGAGGGATGCAGGTAGTAATCAAGAGGACGATCGTATTCCAACCAGCGTTCTCGTTCAAAATCAAATGAAAGATTTGATCGGTTTGCAAGATTTGACCATCAACAAACTTCAACAAGATGTAAGCAACCACTCACAATCACAAAGAGCAAATTTAAACTATACTGTAACTTTGAATTGCAATGCAAGAACCTGTTGTGGCCTGTCACTTGCACAGGCTCCTAGCTAGTTATCGTCAGAGGTCCAGTTTCTTATAGAGATTTTTTATATATTGCGTTACAGTTTCTGTGTTTTTATTTTTGCGCATCAGGCATTTTCAACGACGTTATCAGATTTGGGAAGCAATCAGTTGAAAACAAGTGAAGTCACACTATTTTACTTGGACTTCTGTAGTTTTTTTTCAGTTTTTTTTTGTTGTTTTTTTATAAAATTGGCATAAAAAACAACTGGAAAAGGTCAATTTTAATGTGATTTTTTGTATGCCACAACACCTTTATCGTCTGCTAACCAAAATAATGGTACCGTCATGGTTAGTTTATCTGACCATTATGAACACCATCCAAAAGCATGATTCTTATGTATAATAGGAGAATGAGATATTTAATCTCCAGACTGGGGTTGAACCCGTGACCCTCCAAACTCTAGATGGATCATGCTCTACCAATTGAGCTACCTGGTGTTGTCGAAGATTGACCCAAAGTCAAGTACCACTATGTTTCTCCTCACGTGTATTTTACTAAGTACATACATATGTTCCTTTTTATTGGGTTAGAACTTAGAATACAGAAACACTGAGCAAAATAAATCAATGTCAACTGACAACATCTTCCATCTTTAAATAACTGTTTATATCTAACCTGAATAATCTTATGTTTTGTTTCAGATAACTTTACAGGAATCCACTCTGCGAGAAAGCTTCCTACCAAGAGAGGTTTATGATTCTGAACTCCAACAGTTTGAGGTATCATAGTAGCTCCAAGTCTTTCAAAATATTTCATACCTTGAAATAGATTGAGCTAGCATCTCAAATTAATCTAATCATTTTAGTTCTATACATTTGTAAAGTATTCCTGTTATTTGGGACATGTGTCCAACTCAAGTGGAACATGTGGGATGCAGGGTATAAATAAGCATAGCTATAGGCCTTTGTTTCTATAGCTATACACTTATAATAAGTGTTGAGGGAACAAGATACAGTGAGTATAACACTAGTACTGGAACCCAGGTATCAAACCTTTAATTCAATTTAATACCAAGCTGGTCTAGATTCCAGATAAGTTTACTAATTATTAATGTGAAAATGGAATCAAGGTTAGTGGATCCTTAAAGGGGCATCACGGTGAAGTAACTTTATTTTTTGTCTTTTTTTCAAATACTACATAAACATATCAAGTGAGACTCCTTATGGAAAATAACGGTCGGATTTGGCTGAAATAGATTCATAAAAATGATTAAATCTAAGAAAATCATCGGTATTTCTACCTGTCTGACCAACGTTTTGTTCAGGGATTTCCCTCTACTGGCGCATGCGCATAGCACACCATTTCTTTGTAAACAAAATGACTGGCCGTGTGAAATAAGCGAAAGAAAAGTGTTGTACCGTGTCAGCTACGAAACAAAAAGTTGCCAAATGGTCAAAAGATAGGGCAAGGAGTACGTTACGGAATCATTATTGCAGGTGGGCAGTATTCAAAGGAGAAAATAACTGCCGTAGCAGTTAGTACGGTGCATGTATTCTTCCGGATAGCCGATTAAGCTGAAATGGAATCGACAGAAATGCTAGCGCTGTTTATATTATGAATAAATATCTAAAACTATTAAGCTCGCTAGTATCATTGTCTGAGTTTGAACACAGATGAACTTAGTTAAATATGTTAATGGGCATGTATTGGAGAGAGTTTACTTTGTGTTTCTATAATTATACAGTGGTTTATGCGAAAGGAAGGGATAAGTGACTGGTTAGTTTGATTTTTCCATGAGGCCCTCCAAGGGATAACTGTTGTGATGGCCCACAGCGTATTTTCTGGGTCACCGAGATACGTGTTATCGAAGTCCGTGGATTTACATAATTTATAATATCACCGGGTTCAATAAAATGTTATGATTTAATTATATTGCTGAATTAAACGATTATTTTTGTTTTTACTGGCAAGATTTTAATTAGTGCTAATATGAATACCCGGCCTCCTCTGCCCCGGCAACATATAAAAAAAATCAGAGAGGTTTGTCCCTTGGTGTAGGGAAGGTGTTTAGACACGTACTATCTGTACCGGCCACATTCCGGTACTAAATTCAATATATATTTAAATATATCTACTTTATGTTTATGCCTATTATCATTGTTGACATTTAATTTTAAATGTATGACGGGAGAAGGCTGTAAAAACTTGTGCCCCATCCCTTGTTTAATTTTATTGGCAACACAATGTTTAAAGCTAAATAAATCTAAATTCTGAATATTGGCAAGGGTGCAATTAACTTCTAATGATGAATAATTACTGTTCAATAAGTTTGAATACGGACTTAGAAATCATATAACTTGGTTTCATAGTGCGGTAAGAAGTTCCAGTTGCCTGACGGCCCCTCTCTGGGGGCCTCTTTGGGAACCGTTTCATCTCGCTCGCACCACTTGTGTTTACTGCCTAGTCAGGTGACGTTACCGGCGCTATTTTTAGCAGGGCTTTCCCGAACAATTCAAGTGGTCAAACTGGACATTTGGAACGAACTATGAATATGGGGATAGCGTGGTAACATAAGTGGAAGTGCATACAATACATACATTCATTAAAAAAAAAACACGCCTTTTCACGTGATGTCCCTTTAATTAATGCAGTTTTCCAAATAATACACAATTTAATGGTACTGTTAAAGTGGGTCTAGGTAAACGTCCTTAATGAATGTTTACTGGATTCTATATATAAAAGGATCGTTTTTAGACATGTTATATCATGGGTGTAAGAATAATTACCAGTTATACATACTGTAGTCATTACTTTTCAGAAAACAATACATGAAGATTATGTTCCAAGGGAGAAATATGATAAGCTTCAAGCGGAAGTAGAGGTAACTATAACACTTAATCTGTTAACAGTGTAAATGTGTTATATATTATACATAAAGTACAATAAAAACATATCTCTAGACGTGTTTGTGACATTTCCATAAGTAAATTTTATCTGCCACTGTTAAGATGTACCATAGTAAATTGTGACCTGGGTATGGCCACAGCTCATATCATAATCTATTAATAACAATACATTGTGTGATAATTTTTAGATGTCAAATTGAAGCAGATTACTGATACTTTATCATTAGCCAACCATCGATATCATCAGATGGCAGTCAGTATAATTTTGGTTCAAATAAATGACCTTGACCTATTTTCAAGGTCACAGAGGTCAAATAGGTGCAGGAAAATAAACAACTTCTGAATAACCAAGCCTAGGCAAGGGTATTGATATTTCGTCTGTAGCATGTTGGGGTATTGGCTATCAAGTTTTTTCAAATGAATTACCTTGACCCATATTCAAGGTTATAAGGAGCAAATTTGTTTGAGTCTTTAAACAACTCTTTTATAATGAATAACCTTGAGTTGTAGGGTATTGATATCTGGTTTGTTGGTTACTGGTGTTTGGGCCTATCAAGCATATCAGAGTTAATGGCCTTGACTTATATATATGTAAAGGTCACAGGGTTCAAATCTTTAAAGTGTTTAAAAAAAAATCTGAATAATAAAGAGGCATAGCTAGGTCACAATGGCCCGCTGCATTTGGGATGAATGGACATATCAAGTTTGTTGAAATAGATTACATTTGCCAATATTATTTTGAAGCCCATTAAGGTCTGGAGTAATAATATATTTTACTCAATTATGTAATAAGCAACAGAAGCTGAGCCATATACAGACACAGGGAGAGCTCTATGAAGTCAAAGACAAGTTGGAGTTTGCCTTGGGTGAGGTAGAAGTCCTAACTAAACAGCTTCAGAGAGAGAAGGCAGCATTCGAAAAAGCGTGAGTACAACTAAATGCTGATTCATGGTGGTTTAACTGGCAGAGGTTTATGATTGAGTGCACACCATACCATATAGAAGTGCTTATAACGAGAGGTCCTTTGAAATAATGAAACTTCATCAAAAAGACTTGAAAGGCCACTCTACAATATGGTATCTTATAGATTATAATGGTATGTCTAACCATAAAAAGTCATTACCTGCGATAACAATAAACCCATCCATACACTTGATGAATTTTCCAAGTAAAAATCCTTGTGATGATAATCATTCTAAATCATTGTCATTTATAATGAAATCCAAGATATGAAATATAATTTCTGTAGCCAGAGATTAAACAAAGCTCTCATAGTGATAGCACTAGCCTTATCAAAAGTTGGGACCACAGTAAGTAATTAATAGTCTCCCTAAACGTTTTGCTTATTTTGATACACATCACATAAACATGTAACAATAATACATTTATTTTATGAATGTAGGTTAGTCGCCAGTTTTTGGGAAGATATCAAACAATGGCTGTACACAAAAAACAATAAAATCATAGAATTGAACAATAATGATGTCATATTTGGAAAATCAGCACATAAACAGGATATTAATGCTCTAAACAGTATTTTGCTGATTGCTAAGCACCACATTTATTAACAAATATTAAAAACTAGTAGACCCAATATTGCTTACTTTAAAAGAGACCTGGAAGACTACATTAGGATAGAACAGGTAATTCACAAAAAGAATATGGACTACACCAAGTTTGAAAATAAATGGTTCCAAATAGTCTTATTCAATTGTCATATAGTCATGTTTAGTGGTATTAGACAATGAAAGTATATGGTTATGTGTATAAAATAAAAAAAGGTCTATTTTGCAATAGGTCTGTATTGGTACCCCAGTTGTAATAGACATATCAGCATATATAATCGAACACAAATATATCTTTACTCTTCAATGCAGAATCTGAGTTCAACAAATATATGGTCAAATTGAAGCATTCTTCTCTCGCATTGATGTACTCCATTGTAAAGTTGTGTTGTCTTTGTCATTATATTATGCAAAAGGGAAAATAAAAAAAAGTGTTGAATCAAAAAATAGTCGGTCTCCCTAAACGTTTTGCTTATTTTGATACACATTACATAAACAGGGTTAACATGACGGTTTATTTTCTGAATGAGCAGGAATAAAGGATGTGCTAACTAGATGATGCGGCATCCTTACTGATGTTGTCACACGTAGTAGAATATCACTATATAGCTATAACAAGTCCCGTCTTGATTGCAGATTTGGTTCCCTCCAGAAGAAAGCTGTTGAAGAGACATCAAAGACAACCAGACTGACCGACAAATGTTCAGGTGAGATTTAGACTTGTTACTGCCATATATGTTTGTATAAATATCTGATGATTATTTTTACAACAGATTGATTTCACTGTTTTATATATATATATAGACTTTATTTATTTTACAACAATTATGAAACAAGTTTTTACAACTTATATAAACCACTCTTGTTGGACCGGATGTAAGCGTGCGAGGGGTATTTATGTAGGATGAAACCGGAGTTCCCCGGAGAAAACCCCCATGGTCGGGCAGGTGACCCCATACCTTTTCACATCCAATTGGGGAATTGAACCCTGGTCGCCTTGGTGAAAGACAAATGCGTTATCCACTGCGCCACCCGACCACCCCAATTTCACTGTGTTTAAACCATGAGGTCAACTTTTAATGATTTTGTACCTGGAACAAATACAAAATGTATGCAAGATGTAATTTGTGCGAGAGGATTAATCGTCTTTAAGCCTAGATAGATATCTGTCTGTTGGAAAGGCAGCAAATTAGAAATGCTTTGTGTAAAAGTTGAAATCCTTGTGTGTGAACATTTTCACATTGTGACTCTTTAAACTGATTGCATTGTGGATTTTATTTTGTTTTCAAATCTATATCTATAATTTATATAATCCGTAAAAACATAGTTGCATGTGGATAATGTTTGCAGTTATTCACTCAACATAATTAACAACAGCATTTCCAAAATGTGAATATTTCCACTTTTACAGTACATTTTGTATATTATTCTTGTCATGAAACTATCATAAATAAATCTTTCATGAAAGATAAAGGCTAAATATGTACAGTCAACATTTAAAAAAAAAAATCCAATTGTATCAATGAGTAATAAATAAAACACAAATTTCATACTGTAAATCGGTTTTGCATACATGTTCCTACAAATTTCTGTTTTGTTTTCAGAAATCACTGAAGAAGTGCAAAAGAAGGATGACGAACTTAATTCAAAAGAGCTTGAAATCCAACAATTGGAAAAGAAATTAAAACAACAACAAATGAGTTATAAAAAGAAACTAGGAGATGCTGAAATCCAGCGTAAACAAGACCAATACATAGCCAAACTTTTAGACAAACAGGACAAAAATACTGGGTATGTAGAGTTTCAGAGGCCTAAGTCTAGCAGCACAAAAGCAAAAACAGGAAGTATAAACACATGGAGATGACCTCTGTCATTCATATCTAGGTTATATTTATATCAGTGTATTTGTTGGCACTTTACACATCTGCGGAGTACTTGGTGTTCATCTCACTTTACTTTGATGGGGCATTGACCACATCCACCAAAGATCTGATATCTGCCACTCAGTGATGGGGTCTAACTGCTGTAGATGGTTACATACATGTAGTTTACAAAACAGATAACTATAAATTATGGACATTCAGGTATTTATGATTGAACAGTTTGTATCCTATCAGTAATTAATTCACACACTTGTATTAAATACTCTACAGTGGGCAGTTCCAGGGGCAAATAGATTTGGCAACATTATCCTTAGTACCGATATGAGTAAAAAGAGTTTGGTCATTTAAATTTGGCCAAACTATTGTATGCTTTAGCTCTTAAAACTATTGTGAATTGATCAAACAAAGTATAGAAACTAGCTATATATAGGGGCTTATTGCTTTATGATATGTGCTTTCATTCCTGTGTTTATATGTTCTTTTTCTTATACAAAGTGTGATGATATTTGTGATTATTTTTATAATATTGTTACCATTTATGGTATTGGCATGAATTTCATCTGACACCATTCTGGGTTTCCTACGGAATAAAATTCTGACTTGATGGAACGATATATTGGATTTGAGAAAGAATGATAAAGTAACATTCACATGTCTTAGATTGAGCTTGCAATGTGATCACAATATTTTATGTTTATACCGGTATGTTCATTAAGATTATTCACAACAAAAAATTGTATCTTTAACAAGATTCTACTGTATTAATTATAGCCACAAAAGTAATGAAAAGTTAGAGGTACTAACTGTGTTTCTAACCCTCGCATGAGTTGTTTTATTATCTACACTGTAAGGCTATAGAAGTGTATACCATGGTTCAGCAGCTGTTGTCTGTCACCTGTCACATCTGTCATTCTTGTGGAAAGTAAAGGGTTAATATAAAACATAACTAAAACTTAAATATTGGGATCTGAATTCAGTGCATCCAGGGTCTGCAAAAGGCATGAAATTAACCAGAGTCATTTTGGTCATTTTTAATCATTTTTGCTCTGAATATCTTTTTTAGTATACAGAAAATCTTTGAAAGCTTTCTTTAATCAGAACTATAACATGGTATTTAACATGAAACTTACCCAAAATTGTTTCTTTCATTTTCATAATAAAGTGTGTTTACTTGGTTCTCTCCCCTTGCCGAGACATACCAGAGTCTGTAAAAATGGTAGTTTCTACTCCTGCGTAACGCTCAGCAATTTAGGAGTGGGACGACTGGTTCGCCTGTTGCCAGTATAATGTGACCGGGTGGGATGTCATGCTGGGTGTCTTCGGCAGTATGTTTCGGTGACGTAGCACTATAAAGTCGGCATCAGGTCCGCGCTTTCACAAGGAGACAAAATCGAACATATCGCAGCCTCCCAACACCACAAGCATACACTACACGCATGCATCTTGCATACAGAGGAGGCCGTCCTTAAATGACCATCCTTAAATGACCATAGCTGCTGATAGGACATTAAACAATACTAAACCAAACCTACTTACTGTAGCAACTCCACATTATAGATGCATGGAGACCTTCTTGACCAAATAGTACAATATTCCTCTTGCAAATTTTATAGTTCTATATATTCAAAACCAATTCCTTTATTGGCATTATACATCATTGACTTGATTAATTACAAGCTGGGACAGTTGCCCACTATTACAAAGTACTGCTATTGGTGATAACTACTCCAACACCAGACAAAGTACAATGTATCAGTTTAGTGATGACTGCAAAAATGTCAAACCTGGTGATACTGGCCTAATGGGCTTCCTTTATTGTATATTATCATTAACATTAATTCCATTGTAAATGGAAACAAATATATATGATTTACAGATTCAGAGATGAAATACAGTTTTAAATCTTGAATGTTTAAATTGTTTGATAAATGAATATTCAAAGTCCTGACTTTTTCAATAAGATTAGTGGATCATGATTTTCTTAACTCAAGGGAGATCATCTTAAATGTGTACATGCACTACCAGGTACTTCATAATGTATGTGATATATTGTGTTTATTTTTTTTCACTTTTTATAATTAGTTGATTGATTTTCACGACTGGTTGGTTGCCGCACATGCGAACTTTGAAGTCATTTAAGTGAACATAAATATGCTATGTTTATTTAGTTGCAAGTCACAGTTAGCCAAAATAATTACTACACTTCAAATTATTAATGTGAATTTAAATACTTTATCTCAATGTTTTCCAGTGCTATTGTAATACAAGTATGTGAATTACCAGGTATTTAATTTAATTATTATGTAATTGTTTATTATTATTTATTATTATTTAATTATTTTAAAACCATACATTAATCAAAGTATTGTAAATGATGAAACCATCTTAGAGCGATAATTGATAATATTGATTGCTGAATGAAGTTAATTTTGAAAGCTTTTAACCTTTTATTGATGTATAAAGTAGAAAATCTTTCGAAAACACTTGAAGTTTATTTAAATGTGAAATAAATACTGGTATCAATAACATTTGGTTTCCGCATGATTTGATGAAGGGGGATATTTTTCATCAGGCTTACTGGTATGTGTTTGGTTAAGAAAAGGGCCATTCCTCTGGAGACAGAGTGCCTTATTACAATTTGTGTTGTTGGAAATAATTGTTGATGTGTTCATAAGTGTTACTTAATATAAGCATGTTTGAAAGAGTTAGATTGTGCTTAAAATTTGTTTTATGATGCAACACTTGAAATACCAAAAATGTTAATAAAAAATAACTTCCAGTTTAAATTGTTTTTTGTTCTGTAGATTTCAACATTCCTAACCTAATTTATAATCTCATAGCACAATACATGCAAGTGTCCTTCAAATGAACATGCATTTTCTGGTTGACTTGTTGCAAGTCTGTATTCATTGAGTTTGTAGTTTCTCTAAGATGACAGGATGGTTTTCTTTACAGTTCCTCTTACATAGATATTTTAACACTCTTTCTCCTGCCCTAGTACACTTGATACAATGTATTTCAATGCCAGTTGTCATCAAATTGTTTGCCACTTGACTGTAACTCATCCTTGAAATCCAAGGATTCTGCTCCCTATACACATATTTTCTCTGCTGCACCCTGGAGTATGTCATGAAAAAATCGATTGCTCAAAATTAAGCTAATTTATTATTTTCATGTATGAAAACACAACCAATCACTAGGCTTATACCTGCTCTTTGAGGATGACAGATGAGCTACACCTAAATTCACAACTTGTCCATTTTAACGTTAACCTGTCGCAGACTAGTCTCCTTTGTCATCAGCAAGGTGTCCCGTAAAGAACCTTCAATTTTGTTATAAAATATTATATTGGCGCAAAGAAGAAATAAAAAAATAAAAAATGAAAAATAAAAAAGAATAAACATGCTCTGAATTATTATTTTCTTCATTTTATTAAAAAAAATCTATTTAAATATCGTTGCGGTAATGACATAGTGATGTGGGCTGAGGTAATCTATCCGTGCCTACAGAAAAAATAAAGAGGAAAAGGTCACTGCAAGGAACATTTACTTGCATAAAAATGAGCATATAAACGAACGATACCAATGTTTGGCAAAATTTTAACACAAAATGTATAATTGAATGACGGATCCAAAATGTACCGTGATGGTAGAATGACATGTGTATCGAAAGCAGAACCCTTGGATTCCGAGGATGCTTCATCTGGTCGTCTAGCCCTGAGTGTCAACATGTTCTGCTTCAGAAAACAAAGGTTCACAGTGGTGTGATGCACTCCCCACCTTTTCCCCTTCTCTTGTTCTCGTGTCTCACCTGATTGCCACATGCTATAATATTGGCGTCTATCCATCACTGAGAGCTTCAACCCAAGGCTCGAAACTGGATTGAGGTGGTGACCTGTCAATGCTGCTGCAGTTACTGAAAAGCTTAGATCTACTTCCTTCATCTACATCCAACCAGATACACGTTTAACTGTCTGGGCGACCATTTATTGATATCCAAATCACTCAAGGCGATCTGAACATTTTCCCCTTCAACCTGCTTCCACAAGAAAGCTTTAGGTCTGCCAGCCGTCTTCCTTCCAATTTTCCAACCTTTCCTCATAATAATATTATGTCAGCGTTATAGTCGGAATCAGAACATGCAACAGGAGCTATATGTGTTATAAAGTTTCGAATAAAGTCGTCTAATACAACAGCAATCTATGACGAATAATGATGAAACCTGGTCGGTATTCGTTATTCCGAAATCAGTGACAAGTGTCTCCAAAGCATTAAGTTTTGGGAGGGAATACAGACGTCATACTGTATCCGTGAGTGCAATTGGACACTGTGGAAACAAAGCCCACCAATGGGTGCACAGTATGCAATCTAATGAGCGTAGGTAACTAAACGGCCTTTAGAGGGCTGGGCCCGGATTCATGCCCATGCATAGATTCTATGCTCAAACCAACTTTCTTGTAGCTCGCTTAAATCATTTCAAACGATCAAAAAATCAAATGTAAACATTGAAAATAGTTTTTGGCTGCAAGTTTCTTCAATGTTTTCAAAATCATTGACAAAATAAGATTGTTTTTTATCAATTTATAACAGAAACAAGAAATTCGACTTGAGCGCAAAACCCATGCTTGAGCATGAGAACGGTTTCATGAATACGGGCCCTGATGTTAGTTAGTTTGCACGGTATAGCGATTGAGTAGCAATGATACTAGATGTTTAGGTGAAAAAGTGCCTGTTAGTTCACGACGTTTGGCAGCAGTTTGTATACAGATATAATCTTTCTACCGTTTAATGCTTTGTATATATATGTGTTCCTTCTAAAAACGAAGAAACTGTTTTAAAGGAGAAAATGTTGAGGACACCAGAGGATGTCGATGCTCTATTAATACCAAAAGCACTTCTGTCTGAACCTGAATTCGAGCTGAACTATCATAAGATCATAGCTTTGGAAGGCAGACTCAAAATGTGGGTGGTGTTTGGACCAGGGATGGTATGATTTAGAGTTAAGAACATTATTTGACCTTTGATATCAAAGAACAGGTTTCAACCGTCTGTTGATGACATAAATATCAACCAGAATATGGGGGAAATGTCCAAGATGTTTCAGTAGAAACCTGGAAACACTGGAAACACTAGGCGATAGAAAAGACTGAAATATTGACTTTTGTCAAAATATCATGAACATATGATTAATATACCAAACAAAGTTGGACCGAGCAAAACACGGCACTAGAGGAGACCAGATCATGTAGCAGTTTCAGCAACTAAAGCAACGACCCGAGAATCCAAGAAATAGCAATGTTCCATCAGTGCTAATAAACAATAATGGTTATACCCAGACACGATAGTTAACCGGAGAGAAAAACACGTCGTTTTACAAACAAGAACAGAGTCAACGCGGACAGCAGAGAATACAACCATATATAGGGAGATGGACAAAAATATCAAAATGATAGACTTAGAAAACAACTATTTTTATCGAAGCTTAGGTCAGGGAAATACTCAAACACTGGGAGGATAACATTTAGATTTTGAAGAAAGAAACTATTTTATTTGCAGAGATAACATTGGACCTAATCAAATGCAATAAAATAAATACCAAATATAATTGAAAAAGCGAGTGGTAGTGGAGTTCTGACTATATGGATACAAAAGATGTATAAATGTATTTTCGGTGCCGAGGATGATCCTTTGTAAAATATATCGTCTTTTTTAAACTAATGAAAACTTTGTGAAAAAGAAATTGATAGGAGGAACAAACTGGATTTACTAGAGATGGTATACACAGTAACATTTGATATACATTTACCTATATATGTACCTGTTATGTGCAATGCGTATGTAACACTACAGTTCAGAATGTTTGAAACTTTTTTTATTTAAAATTGCTGAAAGCGTTACTCGTGTAATGTGTGTAAAGGTTAGCTATTTTAGCGAACCAGACACAAGGTTCATTAATTGGCGCCAAATTTTCGTCACGAAACATTCGTTATGGAGTGGGGCCCCGGTTGGTTAAGTGCTTATATTAAGGCGTCTGACATTCTGCTACCACTAGCTGAGTCGCGGGTTCGAGACCCACGTGGAGCAGTCGCCAGGTACTGGCCGTATGTCGGAACTCGGCTTTCCTCTACCACCAAAACCTGGCACGTCCTTGAATGACCATAGTTGTTAACAGGACGTAAAAAACAAACAAACCAAACCAAATCGTTATGGAGTATCAATGCCGTCCAGTACGTATAGTATTGATTTAAAGTACTGAACTCTACTTTTTGGAATATGGTCTTTTACATATACTGTCAATGGTGCATTTCAAGGTAAGGCTGAAAATCAGTTTCATTTCATACATTTGTTCAACATATGGATCCAACAGTTTCAGAACGAATTCAATAATCCAGTGATCTATCTTAAATTACCCATATTTCTTGTCTGGCTCAACAAGGCATTTTAGCTTGAAAACCATCCAATCATTAATATGAACTAGATGTAATGATTACTAAGATAGTAAATGGTGAAAATCGGTAGTATACGTATGTATCGCAGGGACTTTGGGAATTTGTTACAGCTATATCAAATTTTAATTTTGACCTAAACTTATTATTGGGGTGTCATTTTTACCGAAGGTTGATCTAAACCCCTATAGCGTGTTCAATTTATCTGAATACATTAGTTTAGGTCCAAATATAACTAACAAATTGGCAGGTCCCTGTGGTATGTATACGATGGTATGCGTAAAATGAATTTTTATCGTAAATCTTTTCAATACACAATTGTTTCGTTATCAATCAATAAGCCAAACATTTTTAAAGAAATTATTGAGAATCCTAAATGCAATTGTACATTGGGCACAGATATCATAAAATGAACGTGGAGCCTACCCACATGCGAACATGATATGGTGTGTAAAAGATGTGGATTAATTAGGTTGCTTTACAATGCAAGCGTCAGCTGGGAGTTTCCCTTTAGTTCAGCGGTAGAGCATCGGACTGGAGAGCCAAGGGTCGCGGGTTCGAGGCCCAGCGACGGCACTATCTTTATCACTATTCCTCTTCTAATTCTAGTTCTACCATATAGTGACCACCTTCAACTAATTGAAGATTTTGTCACGAAGTTGGGTTTATGCAGCACAAATGACAGACTATGTATATTACATAATAATTAATATTTATCCACTTAGTTAAAGTTAAGAGAAGGAAAATTTAGTTGGGAGAGTCAGAGAGAGTGGTCCGAGGCATCACCTACAAAGCTTGTTCGGAAAAGGGGGAAAAGAAGAGAAGTGGTTAATTACTATGTAAAGTCTGTTGAAGTAACTGATTACTCTGCATCTTCAATTGTATAGGTGTGCCTGGAAAGCGATGTTTTGAAAGAGTTGAAAGTGGGTGCATAACGATGTCAGATGGTAATTTGTTCCAGTCTAGTATGGTACGAGGAAAACATGATTGTGGTCCTAGTTAGTGTTTTCGAGTATTGCTGTTAGTATTGGACCTGGTGGGAATTTCTAGGAATTCTTCTGGCTCGGTGCATCGTGTCAGTCGTGGATCTTTAATTTCCTACGATCTGACTGCAGGATGCGCTCGTCCTTTTACAACTTTAGTGAACTTGGTGCCGTTGACCCTCCCAGTTCAAGGCAGCAGAATCATTTGGCGGGGAGTCAAATAACCTGGGTTGGTGTTTGAAAAAAAGGGAGAATAGTGTAAAAGATGTGGATTAAATAGGTTGCCTTACAAGAGTCAGCTGTAGGGAATTTCCCTTTAGCTCAGCGGTAGAGCATCGGGCTGGAGAGCCTAGGGTCGCGTGTTCGAGCCCCAGCGACGGTACTATCTTTATTACTATTCCTCGTCCTATTACAAATTGGTGCCGTTCACCCTCCCCGTTCAAAGTAGGAGAACCCTTGGCGGGGAGTCAAAGAACCTGTGTTGATGTTTGAAAAAAGGGGGGAATAGTGAAAAACAAGCGTCAGCTGTAGGGAATTTCAGCCAAGGGTCGCGGGTTAGTGCCCCAGCGATGGCACTATCTATTACTCGTCCTGTTACATATAGTCTGCTGAATAACAGAACTACTCGGGAGTGAAGCGAATGTAAAACCACTCAATGGTTATGTTCCAATTTTATTCCGGATTTACAAGCTCCGGTCTATTACTTTAATTTTAGATCATGGTTGTGCAGAGTCACGGAAGTGTTTGTAATCAAAGCGATTACAAGAGTATATTTTCTGGAACAAACTGGAACAATTTGACAGAAATGTTTAAACGAAAGAAAGTGTATTCTCAAAAACGAAGAGTGTGTTTATCGATCTAATGAGCGGTGAGGACATAGAAACCAACAGGTTGAAGAATATGGCACAACCAGTAAGTCATTTCTTGATCGAATATCGAGAGGAAAGAGCACAAGTGTCCGTAAACATTAGTAAAATTAGTAAATAACAATAAAAAACATTCACCATCGTGTACAGCCTACATGACTTTCTATCAGAAAGACATGTTGTAAGACAAATGTATTTTGAATAAATTCTTATTGACAATTTTGTTCACGGGAACCTATGGGATCACCTGTACTTAATTAATTTAGGCATCAGTGTTTTGGTTGTAATTATAATGAAATTAGGCCTAATAAGTCTGCCTTACCTATATCTAAATATACACATATTTATTATGTTCCATTATCGATATTATTCAGCTCCAAAAACTGGAATCGATGTCATTAAAAGTTTAATCCTGTCGATAAACATTAAACTAATACTTTTTTATTTATTAAATTCTTCTATTGGTTGTTTGCAGTATATATATCTTCAACTAGATTTGTTTACAAAACAGTTCTATACAAGAGTGCCCAGAATCAGATCATTGTTACCACGGACTTAGATAATCTAATTCCGTGTTGTTACTAAGTAATGTATGATCAATTTTGATGTATTTTTGGCATGAATTATCAAGTATCTATCTTCTCACTTTTGTTGATGCTATATTTTTCATGCAAGACCAATCATCGAAATTTATTTCTGAACAGTTATATTTATGAAACAAGTTTTATCAAATTAGTTGCTCTTGTTGGCTCTGATTAGAACTCAGGGTCTCTTCATGGGAGGAAACCAGCCATGGTCAGGCATGTATAATCCGTCATGTCGGATTATAGGTGTATCGTCAGTATTATATTATATTATTATAAATTAGGGAGTCCAACCCCTGTCATCTATGACAAAAATTCTTTCTACTGTACCACTCAATCTTTTTTATCCAATAGTATTGCATGAGTATTTGTGTTCATTTGAATCTTTTTTTCATTGTAGACATCACACCATGTGGTTCAGAAAGAGAAGGATTCCAATAAGGAAGTGAAATCTATGGCCATTTTGAAAAATGCAACCGTCCATTTTTCTCCAAATTTCTCCCTGCTACAGAGAAACACTAACCTGAATGTACCACCATCAAACTGGTTAAGGCAAACCTCTGTTGTGGAGCAGAACATTCATGACTTTACTCAGCATCAGAATAGCAAATCCTACCTCAGCAGTATAGAGATGGCTGGCAACTCTCTAGATCTGACAGGGGATGTGGATGTGATTACAAATGCACAGGTACATTATGTTGTCAGGATCACTACATGCAGTATAGATCTAAACTGAGTTTATCACTGGTGATGAAGTATAGTTCAGGTTGGAGGCTGTAGGTAAAAATCTTAGTCTGGCGTGTTACAGTACATGTATATACACTGTATATTACATTATACATGTAAGTGATAGGGAACCAATGCTATGAATCTTAGACCGGGATTGATTCAACAGTGATTAGGCATTTAGAATTAAGTTATAAGAAATATTGTGTATGATGTGCTTTTGAGCTATATTTTTCACTGTTACAGAAGTTTGTATGACTGTTGTCCTTTTCTTTCTGTTTCCCCAATTTCACTAATGAATTCAAGTCACAAGGCAAAATATGTGTGCACATGTACTTGAAATCTGAATAACTCATACATGTTACCTGTATTTTTGTGATAGAAAAGCTCCTAGGAAGTTGAAGGTACAGGTCTAGTCTGGCCAGTTACATTCAGTCTGTTCTGTTAGAAATGATTACATACCATTATTATATTACAGTAATTTACATCATAAGCAACTGTGACCTACACAATGATTGTAATACACTTGAATGGGAGTGCACATGTACAATTGGTTATACTTAGGGGATCACAAGAATGGAAACTAAGAATGCTATGAATCTGAATAGGGGTTATTGACCTGTGACTAGGCATTTAGAATTAAGATATATGAGAAATATTATGCATTATGTATGATGTGGTTTTGAGCTGTATATCACTGGTACAGAAGTATAATAACAACTCATTTGCTGTCCCTTCCTTCTGTTTCCCCAATTTCACTAGTGAAATCACAAGATAAAATATGTGTGTACTTGTGAAATCTAAATGACAAATTCCTGTTTTTTTTTAAATTTTCAACTGTTGAGTAATTAACATTACAGAATATAAAGAAATTGCTGAAGATACCCTTCAGTCGGTCCCACATAAGTATGATGGTGCATAGAATCGGGAAATCTCTGCTGCTGGACGAGTTTGACATACACAAGCATCTGCTACGTCAACAACAGGTAAATATATTCAGTATTAAAAACTAAAAAATGAAAAATAAAATTGTTTATACAACTGTCAGCTTATAGTATTGTATTCACTAGGAAAAACTTTCCTGCTGAAAGCTGCTAGTGAATGAGTTATTTTCGATTAAATACGTTTGAGTTTGATATACAAAAAGGTAACAAAGTTTGACATTTACATTGTTTATGCAAACAGGATGACTGGAAATGGCTGAGGGAGTTCTATTATGATTGTGTTGCTAGAGATATGCAGGTGAGTGAAATTTTCTTTTGTCATAGTGAAACTTACCTTTGCCAATATATAGCACTTACGTGTGCATTCCTGGCTGTGATGGACTTTCCAATGTGGTTTAACAGTTGCATTCAAGTATTTTCTTTTTCATAATTTATAAGATCTAAAAAGGGAATGTTTGATGACTTTGATTAAATGATATTTGGATTGTAACAAAAACAAATCTTGAATGTCAGCACTGTACATGTTGTCACTCTGTGCAGTGAGAGGGTTACTACATGTTCTGTAGCATATCACACGTGAAAAATAGGAAATATATTCAAAACATGACTGAAATATGACTATCATTAGTCCAGAAAACAAGAACATTCTGTTGATTATATTTTACTTTATAAAGACATTGACTTCTGTGAAAAGATAGTACATCTCCCACCAAAACTGATAAGACAAGGGAATTGTATGTGTTGTTTTGTGATGTCGCTATAAGAAAACACCTTGGATATTATCATGTCGCAATGGACAATGCTCATTGTTTGTTATTTTTCACTCTTAATCCTGCTCACTTATTTGTCAGTTTACCGTAAAAGAAAATAATTATTTATAATAGCTAGCCAGACAATTATATAATAATTAAATGGATCAATTGCAAGTTGACATCATGATCTGTATCATATTCAGAAATGGCTATCTGTTTTCCTTTAAAAGACAACTTCAGTTTATTCTATTGTTTACCCATAAAACTGATTGTCATAAAACTGTTGAGTCTTACAGAAAAAAAAAGATTAAAAAGCAAGTCACTAGCCCAAGGCTAGTACACATTAACTTTAAAAAAACTGATTGCCTTAAAACTGTTAGTTCTGGAAAAAATTATAAAAGAGCAAAAAATTATAAAAGAGGAAGTCTCTAGCCTAGGGCTTATACATGTATGTCTTTAAATTTCACTAGCATAAGCTAAAAATCTGGTATCCCCAGGCATCAGTATAGGTGATGTTTATATCCTTGCATGTATAACAAAATGATTTAGTGTAGCTTTGATTAAATTAAAGAAAGGTGAGTTTATGAAATTTCTCTTTTAAAATTCTAAATCTATTTTGTACTTTAATTTACAGATGATAAATCTATTTTGTACTTTTCAGATGAAATGTGTGCCAAGAAAGGACAAAAGTCGTCACAAACAACAGACAAGGAACATGTACTCCAAGTTCCTTTATCACAGGTAAAAATGTGTTGCTTATTTAGCATTTATATCTTGTGTACAAGTTTGTAGCTAAAAATGCAGCTTTAGACCAAGTTACTCCAGAAAGGATAATACAACTCAGATATGAAGGATATGAAGTTATGAACATTTGTTATAGGGATCAGATAAACAAGAACTTAAAACATGAAATGTATCCTCTATGAAGTATGGTATATAAGAATCAACATGATTCTTAAAACGAAATTAAAAACATTGATCAAGAATACCAACTAACTATTGTACATTCAACAGGTGTAACAAAATAATCATGACATAATAACACAAATGTTACAAAATAATTTTGGCCCTTGGGAATTATTTCTCAGCTGCTTCTATATGGACTTGTAGAGTAGAGTAGGTCTGTCCATGTTAGTAAAACAGACTTATAAAATTATGAAACAGACCTTCCATGATCAACCGACTAGAACAGGGATGTTCTACATTAGAGTGTCGTGTTATTGATAAACAGACTTACATCACTTCTTTTTTTGTTTATTAGATATGCCTGTTATCCTCACAGATAGTACAGGTCTTCATGGTGTCCTTCTATAGTTACTAACAAGTCATCACAAGTTAACAGTGTATGACATGTCATATGAGGAAAATCTATTAAACATTGTAAATGTATCAAATATTAACCAATGCTGGATAATATATTACACCATTGGGCTCTGATAAAGGTCCAATTACCATATTAAAGTTTGGTGCTAATCAAGATTGAAATTATTATTTAAAAAAATATTATGAACCACAAAGTTTTAAAAAATGAATTGATCAGAAAATTTGATTCTGTCGAAAGACGAATATTATACTACACAACATATACTGGCATTTGAATCAGTGGTGTATAGCTCCATGTTTAAAGTACAATGTACCTGGCCGCAGGCAGGTTTTACAAATTCTACTAGCCTTAGCTGTCTTTTTGTAATAAATATTGCGTTTTCACTGGCCCTAAGATAAAAAAAAATACATATGCATTAGTCTAGTGGAATTACACACCCCTATTTGGTTTTATTAGTCTAGTGGAATTACACACCCCTGTTTGGTTTTATTAGTCCAGTAGAATTACACACCCCTGTTTGGTATTATTAGTCCAATAGAATTACACACCTATTTGGTTTTATTAGTCCAGTAGAATTACACACCCCTGTTTGGTTTTATTAGTCCAGTAGAATTACACACCCCTGTTTTGATTTTCTCTGTTTCAGTATTGCTGATGCCAATCCATGTGAGAACATTGAGAAAGAATTTCCTGTCACTCGTGTCTTGGAGAAAATGGAGGAAAAGGAACTTAATCTGTTACATGACAATCCATCTGAAGTGTGTTTTTCACCACTTTGTATTCTGTTTCGCAAAAAAGCATTTGTTTAGGAATCGAAAACCTCAGATCAGATTTACATTGCTAGTAGATCATGATAAACATGAAACATTGAAAAGTGCTTTTTCAAGTGAATCTTCGTATTCATTTCTCTGAACATAATACTACAGAATTGCTTTATCAGAGTAACTTTAAATATTTTGTTGTTGATGACATTAACTTTTGACAAGATGTGTTTTCTTTTTTAATCAATTTGTCAGAGGGGGGTATGATATAGCTATATTTACCTTCATTATACATAAAGGTTGTCAATAGAAACATACATACCAAAGTTACCCATATTGGTATGTGAAGCAGTTTTGATAAGTCTAAGTTTTGAAAACGTATCCTGAAACTTGCAATGTTGTAATGTGTGTTGTAGACTCCCAGTGGTGACTTCCACAAAGAGATCCTGTGGATGTTTGAGGATATTCGTATGCTCATCGGAACAGACCTTCCCATATTTTGTGGGAACAACTACCCCTGCATAAGTCTGAAGCTCAGGTACGTCAACATAATTAAAATTACTACATGCATCATTAAATATATTAAAAAGATGGTGTAATTGCTATTCCATCATCTGCTTTGCCACTGCTAATGTTTGGAGTTTCAAACTGTTAATAGTGTGAAACAAGCTGATCACTGATGAATACAGAAGACACAGTTTGACTGTCCCCTTTTTTTTATCTTAGAATAATTTACAATTTGATGAAAACAATTCTTTTTCACAAAATACTGCAGTAGGGAGGTTATAGTTTGTAGCATAAACTGTTGGACAGTGTTACTGTGATAAATAACTGTAAAAACGTTTCCAATCCAATGGTGTTTTTTAAATATTGTCAACAAATATTTGTTGATATTCAGTCAGTGTTCAGTAGCTGATTTCCTAATCCTTGCCTTTTTTCTAATCCCTCAAATCTTTGATTACTGGACTACATATGAAATGAGTGGTTCTGTCAGTTTTTGTCAGCATTACATAATCATAGACTAAATTGTGTCACTGATGCCTGATGCAGTCACTATTTCTGGTTTTATGTATATATGCAATCTACAGGTCAGTCGTTTCCTGATTGTTTCTTGGGAATCCTGAAATTGATGTCAAACTTTATAGTGTTTTTGAGATCATAAAATGGAGGACAAACTCAATAAGTTGTGATAAATTTCGATAATTAATTAAGAAGGATCTTACAGGAGTTACACCTGTATTATGGAATGAGAAACTTCTGCTACATATGCTGCCAAAGTTCTAGGCCTATAGGTGGTTATTTCCCCAAGTAAAGTGTGTTCTGCTGTTGGCCCTATTTCCAAAGTTAATATGAAATTATTTGTAGATTAATTTTATTGTCTAATTACTATTCACCATGTTATTTTGTCACCAAAGGGACATGAGGACCCCTATCAATGTGCTGACTGGTCTGGACTACTGGCTAGACAACCTGATGTGTAACGTTCCTGAGGTAGCAATGTGTTTCCATCTCAATGGAATCGTTCAGGTAAAAAGAAAATGCTTCATCTTAACTCATTCACCCCTGAAGACACATTTGAACTCTTCCAAATCAAAGGTTGGAATAGCTCATTATGAAATTTCAGGGGTGAATGAGTTAAAACATGTTTGAAGTGGTGACTCATCAAATTAGTAATAAGAATTTGTTCAGTATATTTAGTGGCTAACACCCTGGATGTGATTTCATTGGTCAATCTATGATTTATGACGACCTGTAACAATGCTTTTCGACGTAATTTTCCAAGGGAAAGAATTGGGGTGTTTTTTCAGATTGAGATAGTTTTATGGGAGAAACAGGTGACCAAACTGGTGATGACTAGTTATCACGTTTTACTAACTCTGGTTAGTTAATTTTCAAATAATAAAAGACACTCGGTTAACCTTGTGTCTTTATACAATTTGAAGATTACACGTACCTAACTCTAGTTAGATAAATATGACAACCGTCCATCACTCAATTGGGACCATCTATATTCTACTGTATNGGGGGGGGGCGAAAATTGTGCTCTGGTGGGTTATTAATAGTGACATGATTATTGTGAAATTCTTTTCCAGTTTTCTAAATGTCCAAACAATCACCAATCAACCGATAGTATTTCAATGCATAGCGATTCATTTGACTTTCATTAAATTTGTATTTTGCATTTGATTTGTTAGATTTCAGTCATTTTAAATGTTTATGTTTTAAAAACTAATATTTAACTATTGAGGATAGAGAATTCAAAGGTTCAACATTTAGATAATTATATACATTTTCCCACATGTATATTCTTAAATCAACAAGAAAATAGAAAAAATAACCCCATGTATGTCTCCAAAAAATGTGATTTTCCATGAAATATAATACCAACAAAAACGCTTTACACTGTGAATGATGTCAAAAGGCTTGCCTTTTCAGAGGTATGAACTTATCAAAACAGAGGACATTCCAAACATGGAGGGTTCACGATTTGATCCCCAGGAAGTGACAGAAATTGCACGAAACATCCTGTCGTTTCTGAAGGCCAATGCTACCAAGGAAGGCCACACCTACTGGCTTTATAAAGGTAACGTGCTGCATTTACAATTGATACTTGATGCTTTTAGAGGAGTCACTTTTCACCTTAGCTAAATATCAGTTAATTATTTTACTGACCTATACATTGAGTCACAAACTTTGTTGTATATTGTGATACATTTTAGTGTTTTCACAGACTTATCTCCCTTCATCTTGTGCCCCTTTTCTGTTTCCTAGAGGAAAATATATAACGGCTTAAAGAATATAAAGCTCTAAAGGTTTGAAGAGTACAATTTTGTCACAATGCTGTCATTGTGTTTATCTGTCTAGATGTAAACAAATTACATCGGGCCGAAACCATAGTTAGGGGTAATCGTGGACATCAGAAAGTCATTACATGGTGATCCAAACTTGTCTTGCAATGATAATACAGAAATTTTTGATCAGGTACATAGGTATATCATTTGAACAGGTAGGTTTGGGTGACTGCATGGGTTTCCTTTTCATTTTACTTCATCATCAACAATCCCCCCCCCCCCCCCTTTCAACTCTTACCCCTACATCTCTAGTCTCTATACTCTGAAGTAAATATTAATATTATTCTCTACTGCTAATCCTATTACCTATTATTTCAAATGGTCGGCCTTGATTGTTAAATAAGGTATAACAGTTGAATTTATATAATTATTGATGTTATTTAACCTGTTTGTGTTATACTGCAATCTTCTCATTGTTGGGAGATGGCTTAATATAAGAGCCTACTCTTGTTGCCAGATCCCTGATATTACATTATGTAAAATTATAGATTATGTACAGCATAAATAAAATATTGTTTAAACCAAATAAATTACACTAAAACTATTCACCGGTTTCCCATGTATCTCCTGACTACAAAACTGTTCATGGTGCTGGGCTTTCAAATTTAATTGATAAAATATTGTAAATATATTTGATTTGCTTGATTATACATTTGTTTTGTTTGATAGGTAATGATGATGACGTGGTAAAGCTATATGACCTGACAGCCTTATGCGGTGACAATATGGAGGGATCTAATCCCTTTACGATACCTCTTGGTATGTTATTGTACCGAGTGGCACGTAACCTACGTCAGCAGCATCAGAGGAAAAAGGCTCCAACTGTCAGAACTCTTCTAGAAAACTGTCTGTTACTGCTTATGGATGATCAGCATTCACAGGTAATGGCTGATTTCACACGGTAAGAGTCACATGTCAGCCAAAACGGCACCTGGGACCAATCAAGGCCAAACTCTCTGTCATTTATAGCTCATTTCCTTGGGAGAGAAAAATCCCCTATCTATTAAAATTCCCCTGTGGGCTTTGAAATTTACCAACTTTCCATCAATAACTCCTCAAATTGAACCAACTGAGGTCAAATTCTAATGTTTATAGCTCAATGAAGAATAATACCCATTTTCTTCCTGTTTGTGAAAATACAAGGGAGAATGAGAGCCAACGTCCATTAGTGGTCTCTTCAATGAAGTTTTGCATACCCAAATTGATTGGGTTCTAAATGGAATTCACTAGTCTGGCTATAAGAGTTATCAAACTCAACAGATGTGATGACCAGACAACATCAAGTGGGGAGTCTCTGCAATCTTCAAGTGGATTAAAACTGCAGAGACTCCTCGTTTGATGTTATCTGGTCGTCTCTTCTTTACAACTTTGTTTTTATGAATTTTCATATTCTTCTCATTTGAAAAGTTTATAAATCATTAAACAAATTCATTAAAATTATATAAGTCAAGTGATATACTGGTAAATTCAAGTCGATTAAAGCCATATTTGTAATTTTAACGGACTATATATCGTTTTTACAGGTATTACATGTGTATATGTATGTTTACAGGTGTGTACCTCAGCCTACTATTTGTTATCGGACCTGTATGTCCCCGACAGTACAATGAAGGACGATGAGTGGGAGAATTCAGATGTGGGAGAGTCAGACGAGGAAATGTACGATAACGATTCATGTCAGGTACGTCAAGTTATTCCAAATTAGATGACTTTGTGTTTTAGTCTCTTGACTTCCTTTTAGACAAATTTCTATAAGTATTTTGGATGTTAACTAAATGGTGTGGAAAATCTGTCTGTCTGTTTACATCTCTTGTAGGGATGCAAACTTCAAAGCAAATGTTCGCACAAAGCTCAAACTTCATATTGGGGGTTTCCCTGGTGAGATAGAACAACCGAATTGATTTTGGGCAATGGTTGTCAAATGTCAAGGTCAGGGTCATTTGTACTAAAAACAGTAATTCCTTGTCGGGATCCTGGCTTTAAATGAAAAATTGCACAAACTCAACTTGGAGTATGTAGGAACCATATTCATTTTGGGTTTGGTTTCTCCAAGGTCAAGGTCACTGTTACTAAAATAGAATTGCCCAGAACCTATCTTTTAGGTAACAAGTTCTAACTATAAATGCAACATTTTTCAAGCACATTTCACATTTTCTTTTTTCATTATTTAGCGTAATATGCGGCCCTTAGTGTCTGACTTTGTTATAAATAACAGAAGAGAAATGTAATAAGCAATCTAGAATTGATAATATAGGCTTTGATGAGCTGGACTGATAATCAAAACATGTATAATCCAGACTGTGATAGCAAAGACATTTCTCAGGCAAACTTTTGATAATCTGGTAAATTCACATCCAAGAAATTATATTTAAACCTTAATGAGAATTACAGGTTTATATATAAGGAAAACTATTATTCAGGACTTAAACATGAAAACTCAAGGAATCAAGTGACTGTATTATAAATTGAAGGCAAAGATACAGGGAAGATGGTTTTAATTAAAAAGTCAAATTTAGTATTATTTTTGGGTGTAACACTTATGTCCTTACATAAGTGTTAGCTTCATTTGTTTTGAAGTTTGCATCCAACAAGAGATATACACTGAGACCATTGAAAGACAATTGTGATATGTGGTGGTATTTTGTTTTTTTTTGTAGGAAGAGGAAGATTCGAGAGAGTCTACAAAATCCTTGGATATAAAGAATTTATCAGATAAAAAACAGGAAAGCAGAGACAGAGATAATCCAGACATCACTCAAGTGCGTCCCATAGTTGGAGGGGTGATGGAAAAGTGTGCAGAAGCTCTCAATAACATACACAAGGTATTTATTGATTATTTTGAACCTATATTTTTTTTTGTATTTTACCTAATAAAAAGGTAATATGTGGTCTGGGTGTTTACCAGTTTGAGAAAATTGGAGAATAATAATCGCTGAAATTTTAGATTATGCAAATCAACATAACATGATATATAATAATCAACAGTAATTTTGTAACCTGTAGACTCTGCTGGAAAGGCTCATTTTTACTCTAATTCTTCTTGCAAAAAAAGTCAATTATATCAAAATGAAGTCACGAATCAGATTGACAGGACTACTTGTTCCGGTTACAAATATTTGTGAGGGCTTTGAAAGTGTAAATGTCCTTGTGAAGTATCAATGTTTTACAGTACATGTTTATAATAAAATATGCTTGTACAGGGCCTACAAAGTTATATTGAATATGCTCATACAGGGCCTACATAATTATACATAATATGCTTGTACATGGCCTACAATGAGTAGATCGAGATTATATACTGATCAAACCGTAAGAGTAAGAACAGATAGTGGGGATAGTAAGTATGGTGTGGAGAATCAATGTTTCACAGTACGTATATATGATACAATATGCTTGTACAGGGCCTACACTGTTATATTTATTATGCTTGAACAGGGCCTACAGTGTCTAGATCGAGATTTCACTGAGCAGATCCGCAAGAGTAAGAATAGAGTGGAGGAGCAAGTATGGTGTGACAGTAATCAGGCAATACCTCTCCACTACGTTCCCCTCCAGAAGTCTGCCCCACCCCACAACGAGTCAGAACCCCCTCTACATGACCTCGACCACCTACAGCTGGCTGAGACTGGGTCGTCCTGCTCCTGGCATCGTCTGTCCAAGGTTCTGTTGCTAAGGAAGGCCGCCATGGCATTCTACTCCTTGGCAAAAAAGTCCCTGACTTCACACAAAGCTGGCTGTGCCATGCGCTACATCAAGTCAGCTCTACGCTGTTTTGGTAAGTTTCCGACAGGAATTTGATGTCATTTACATCTCTTTTACAACCAAAAACAACTGACACAATTTTTTATAAAATGTACATCAAATGTACATGGAAAACAGGAATATGTACATTTGTTGTATTTCATTGTTGTCATTTCTTCACTGTATGATTTAGTTTCGTTTTTATTTGAAATAATATATAATTTCTAGGTAAGATGTCCAGGCTCATGACTATAAAATCGAAACCGGACACTTACATTGAATCCAGAATTTTATCTTGCCGTCGGGATGGGATTGAGTGTTGATGAAAAAAACATAAACGCAAGAAAACAAGTTTCTTCACAATTATATGAATATATAGTTATATATAAAAATAGTGGAAGTAGTAGTTATTGGTTTACTTTATCAGCAAATGAATATTAAATATCCCCAAAGTTTTGAGATATTTTTTTTTTCTAACCTGGGTAACAAGGACATCCCTCTTTAAGTTTTACTTCTTTTCATTATTCATTTTTTTTGCCTTGATGAAAGTGTTGTGATATATTTACTTTTAAATGTTGATAACTTTATCCGGACCATATGTCACGTGTAAACCTCCCTAAAATCCTTTAAAATATCAATAAATCTTCAATTTTGGTTCTAACAAAGTAATTGGAGGCTTCAGAATAACACAAATGAGATAATACAATGTTATATACAGTATAATTTATGTTTTAAATGTCTCACGAATTTCTCACTAATTCAGAGAAAAAATCTCACTAATTTTGACCAAATCTCACTAAAAAAAATCACTGATCTCACTATTTTGCACCGAAAAGTTATGGCATGTATGTCATGGGCATTTTGCTTTAGACAAAGATATCCAGGCTCATGGGCATTTTGCTTTAGGCAAATATATCCAGGCTCATGGGCATTTTGTTTTAGACAAAGCAACATTGTGTTCCATGCACAATTATTTTCTGAATACAAGCATCTAGAAAGACAAAGCTGATTAAGTGAAAGATATATATGGATATTATATATTGTGTTGAGTATTACACTCATTCTTTCTGTTGTAGCTGGAGTGGGGGTCCTCCTGCCACAGAAGTTTGAAGAGAACAAAGAGCTGTTGATGTACATGTTGGGGTTGGTCGGTGACATCGTTCTAATGTTCATCCATGACGGTCAGATGTATGACGATATCAGTGTCAACCTCATTGACTACACAGAGGAGGAAATCGGCATTCTCGATAGTGTGGAGCGCGAACTCGACGCCTTTGGTAGGAAAAGTATAAATGCGGTAGCTTAGATAGGGAACATAATTATGAACTTAATATCTGAGTAGGGAATATAATTCAGATTTATCTGTCTTCATATGGCTCAGTGACATACTTTGAATTTGTTTAAATTAAGCCCCTGAGGTAATAAAAGAGATCACACCCAGAAATCACAGCTTAACAAATGCAGTTATGAGTCTTAAGATTGGAAATCTTTTTTTTTTACATTTTTTTTTTTGCTGATGGATAATACATGATATAAATCCCTGTAAATTGTTCTAAAACAATTTCTGATTTGAGCATTTTCAAATTTATCAAGGCCAAAATGATCATTCCATTTGTCATGATGATTTTTCATGCTCTCAATCACTTTAATAATGTGATTCTACAGTACAATGTGGTGTTTGGCTGTTTCACAGAATACAGCTGGGCATGTGACCTCCGGGGCGAGAAGGAGAAGCTTCTCCAGCAATGCTGTGCCTGTTACCAGAATGCCCTTGACCTTGCTAACAGTCACATGTCACCAGACTGTCAGGCATTTGTTGTGACATTATGCAAGCGATACGGCAATGTAAAGAACGAAATGGGAGTGTTCTTCATGGGTCAGGCTCAAGTCTTCCTGCAGAGATCAGGTAAAAACTCTTTGGTTATTAAATGTACCTTGATGTATATGAGCAAGATTATAAGACTCTTTCATGTCCAGGGGTGTAAGCCTTGGGTTTTGCCAAATTTAAAAATCCAAAGGGTGGAATTTCCCTATCCTACACCCTTGGTCATGAAAAAGTATTTTTCTCACATTCCAACTACCAGAAAAGCTCAGAAACCATGAAAATGCATTTGGACTGGCTACCATTTTAAAAATATCAATTTTTCCCCTGGGCTTTTTTGACGAAAACGAATTTGTCAGCAAGATTTAGCATACCTCATATTTGCAAACAGAGTTTGTGCAGAAAAAACAATTTCATCTTTTAACCTGTATGGTAAATGTATCGTAAAAGGTTTTAATTTCATCACGTTGCCTTTTCCGCATTTCAGCATGGGTGTTTTCCAAATTCGTGACGTCACGTCATTGTTGAGCCATTGTGACGTCACATGAAATGGGTGTAAGATAGAAATTTCCTACACCCCTTTCTTATCTTGGACAGCTCTATCTTACACACATGGAAATGAGAGATAGAAATCTCTCCTACCCTTAACAGGTGTGTCTCCCGTTTTAGCCGGGAAAGATCAGCTTGTCATCCCCTCGTGCCGATTAGCATGCGTTCAATTGTGACGTCATTAAAATGTGTCACTGGCAATTGTGACGTCATCAAAAGTGAATGACGATATTCATATATTGAAGAAAATTAATCATCCCCTACCTTGAGGGTGTAACAGAGAAATCCCAACCCTCGGAGTGATTTTTTTGGTTGTCTAACCCTCGGCAGAGCCTCAGGTTAGACAACCATAAAACATCACCCCTCAGGTTGGGGATTTCTCGATCACACCCTCAAGGTAGGGGAAGATTCTATTATTCCTACACCCCTTTCTTACCCTGGACAGCTCTATCTTACACACACGGAAGTGGGAGAAACATTTTGTTTAGCTTCCTTGGTATCTTTGGATGAGACTAACATCATTCTTTGAAGTCACATCTAAACACTGTTAAACCTGTTGTAAGCAACTGTCCAGGGGAAGAATACAATTTTGTCATTTAAGGTAGATGATTGTTAAAAAAAACGATTGACCAATCTTAACCAAACTATTGTTTATATGTATTCGTCCAATAATGGAGATGATTACTGCATAAACAGAATCAGTCCAAGACCTGCCAAAGTTTAAATTCACACATCGCCTTTCAGAAAAAGACAGCAGTAAGCAGCTCAAAATATAGGTTTTTTATTCAGCTATGAAGCATGCTGGCATAATTTTATAAACAAAGTGTCAAGGACCTTTTGCATGAAGTTGTCATTTCATTGTGGAAAATGTAATCATCACATAAATTACTTGCTTAATTACTCAAAATACACCAGTAATTTTGTCTTTGTTGATATTTGTACAATATCATGCCAAGATTAACTAAGCTGAACAAAACATGTCCATAGAGTTCAATGTTTTTATGCTGAATGCTCCTGCCATGTGTGTCAAAAAGCATCACACGTTGTCCTTTTTCTTTTCTTTTCTGATTTGGTCAAAACATTTATGCAGGTATTCAATACACAAACCAGTGAAGTAAGTTCACTTTTCAGGGTTATTGACACAAGATCAAGGTTACTACTTCTAAAAACAGAAAACATTTGTCATCACTCTACTGACGTTATCTTCTTCTAAATTGGAGGAATCTGAATGGGATAAAAATGTATACAAGTATTATCAAATGAGGTTGCTTTTCAAGGCCCTGTACACAATCTGACTCCAAAATCACCGGCTGTATAGTGGGACAGCTGAATTATAGTGGTGTCTGCATTAAGGAGGATTAGTTTAAAAAGTTCTATCTTTACAGACTTAACATCTCTTAGCCCCCATATGGAGTGCCTGTGTGAGAGAAGTCAGGAAAGCCTTGATGGGGGTATCAGCAGCTTCGAGAGTGTGAACGACGCAGCCAATCAGGCATTGCTTCACTCCAACAAGGGACGACTGATGAGGCTGCGTGCCCAGGCTCACACCCAGATTACCCTACAGGGAGACAACCCAGAGTTTAGTCAGCAGGAGAGGACATTCTATTGCAAGGTTTCTTTCTCTCTTCTACAATTTGTTTTCTCTTCCTGTGTCATATTTAGTACTACAGTAAAACAAATATATAACAAACCCCAGATGACTGAAGAAATCAGTTCTCAGCAGTAAGACCTGTTTATAACAAGCCTCACATGACCTTGGAAAACAGATCTTTACAATAAAACATGTCTATAGTTAAATGAACCCCAGGTGTAATAAACATATTTTACTGTCTTAATAGAAATCTGTTCATGTACATAAAAAGATAAAAGATTGTTTTTTTTATTTTAAACACCTAACTGGGTAAACAATCATTATAAAACTCTGTCTATTGCTTAAAACTACACTTTATTTGAATTCACTATCAATTTCAAATGTTCCAAACCTTGAATTATTTGAATTTGTATGTAATGATTAAGATTAAACAAGTCTTTGATGGTATGTTATAAGGTTCGTGTTTTGTTTACAGGCGATAGACTGTTACCGTGTAGCCCTGACACTGTTGAAGTCTCACACACGCTACCCTGATATTTGGGAATCTGTCTGCTGGGAGTTGTCCACCACTTACTACAACATGGCCGTCCTCCTACAGGACTGTACTCCTTTATCTACTGAACCACGACTAAAGGTAGGTCATATTATGTTCAGGGAACTACTAACAACGTACAGACAGTATATGTCTTGTTCACCGAATCTCGTCTAATTAAGATATGTCTTACTCACTGAACCACATCTAATTAAGGTATGTCATATTAATTGAGGGAACTACTAACAAGTGACAGTATGTGTCTTGTTCACTGAACCATAACTAAAGGTATACTACATGTTATGTTCATGGAACAGCTGACAGAATGATATGCCTTAGTCACTGAACCATAACTAAAGGTATGATATGTTCTTGGAACCCCTAACAACTAAAGGTTTGGTCTAATTTTGTTTAACGTCCTATTAACAGCTAAGGTCATTTAAGGACATAACCACTAAAGGTGTGATATGCTTTGTTCACTGAGCCATGACTAAGGGCATGACATGTTAGAATGATTTACCTCGTTCACTGAGCCATGACTAAGGGCATGACATGTTAGAATGATTTACCTCGTTCACTGAGTCAGGATTAAGAGCATGGCATGTTAGAATGATTTACCTCGTTCACTGAACCATGACTAAGGGCATGACATGTAAGAATGATTTACCTCGTTCACTGAGCTATGACTAAGGGCATGGCATGTTAGAATGATTTACCTCGTTCACTGAACCATGACTAAAGGTATGGCATCAAATTCATGGAGCCCTTAACTAGAGAAGGTATTGCATGCCTTGCTCACTAAACTGAATGTATAACATTTCAGTCAATGTTTGTTAATTCATTATACCAGTCTGAGTCAATGTGTGTCTTGGTCACTAGAAAACAAAAGAAGGTATAATTGGCCAGTCATTGTATGCTTTGTTCACAAAAGGATAGCTGAAGGTTAGGTATACCGATCATTGTGTGAGTTGCTTAAATTCTCCGGATTAGATATTGAAAAGATCTCATTTCACACAAGACAGTCATATTTAACCATTTCACAAAAAGACTATTCTAGCTAGTGAGTAGATAATTTTAATTAGGGGAAAATAATAATAAAAAGGTATTTTTTTTGTTACCAAATTGATGTTAAAATAGATATTAGCAACATTATTTACAATATTAAACCACAAATAAAATCATTTTTGTCTTGATATTGTTTATATAATCAAGGTAGAGAAAGAGGTTACCGATCTGATGACCAAGTCACTGAAGTATTGTGACATGGGCAACACCTCAGTAAGGCAGCCTATGTACCAGTACCGCGCGGGATCTGTGAACCATCGACTAGCATCCCTCTACCACAAGTCAATACTCACAGAGGTAAGCTATACATTTGGGAATGAGGACGGTGATATTTTCACATATCAAGTATTGTATTTGCACTCTGGCTTATCATCAAAAGGACTTATATGTATCACATGCTTTTAGCTCACCTTGTCCGTCTACCGTCTGTCCGTCAACTTTTCCTTTAAAACGCTAATAGTCCTGAACGGCCAAGTTGATTTTGACTAAATTTGGTCTGGAGCATCCTTAGGCCAAGGGGACTCAATTTTGTATAAACGGTGGGTGTGGCCCCCCTGGGGGCAGAGAGGCAGGGGGGAAATAGAGGTAAAACCTTTAAAATCCTTATTCTACCATAGGGATTAAAGGATTTCATCTCAATCTAGTCTGGGGAATCCTTGGACAAAAAGGACTCAATTTTGTAGAAACAGTGAGTGTGGCCCGCCCCCCTGGGGGCAGAGGGTCTGGGCCTAATAGGGGAAACATAGCAAATTCATCAAAATCCTTCTTCTGCTGTAGAAATGACAGGATTTTGTCCAAATTTAGTATGAAGCATCCTTCAGTGAAGGGGAACAAATTTTGAATAAATGGAGGACCTGACCCCCTGCGGGCAGAGAGGCAGGGCCCAATAAGGGTTATAGTGGAATAGCTTTAATATCGTTCTTATTAGGGCCCCGTATGGGAGATACGGGTGTCTTATAGTAATCACTCTGTCTGTCTGTCTGTCTGTCTGTCTGTCTCTCTGTCCGTCCACAAATTTTGTTTCCGGCTGATAACTTTGCTATTTATTGACCGATGTACATGAAACTTGGTCAAGCTGTTCAGCTCACAAAATACACATTGAGGTTAAAAGTCAAGGTCAAAGGTCAAGGTCATTAGGTTCAAAGGTCAAGGTCAAATTTTACATCTTTACACTGATGAACATTTTGTTATGACATTATGAAGCAAAGTTGATCAAAATTAAACAAGGAGTCAATTGACCAAAGGTGAAGGTCATCGGGTCAGGGGTCAAGGTCAAATTTTGTAGCTTTTCACTGGTGAACATTTTGCTATGACATTATGGAGCAAAGTTGATCAGAATTAAACAAGGAGTCAACTGAACAAAGGTCAAGGTCATTGGGTCAAAGGTCAAGGTTAAATTTTGTATCTTTTCACTGGTGAACATTTCTTTATGACACTTTGAAGCAATGTAGCTCATAATTAAACAAGGAGTCAATTGACCAAAAGTCAAGGTCACTGGGTCAAAGATGAAGGTTAAATTTTGTACCTTTTCCCTGATGAACATTTTGTTATGACATTATGAAGCAATGTTGTTCAGAACTTAACACAGAGTCAACTGACCTTAGGTCCAGGTTACGAGCCAAAGGGTCACGGTCAAGTTTTGTATTTTTCACTGATGAACATTTGATATGATATTAAGAAGCAAAGTTGGTCGGAATTAAAGAATAAGTCAAATGACCAAAGATCAGGGTCACTGGGTTAATTGTCAAGGTCATTTGGTTCCAAAGGTCAAAGACATAGTGGATCTCTGACTTTGACCCTGGCTCTTGATGGAGGAGGTATAAAGGGTGAAATAAAACAAATCAAAGCTTGCAAATGAGTATTGCACCGTTATTTACATTTCTGTTAGCCCAGCAAATATGGAGGTGGAAGGAACAAGACTTGCATCATAGTACATGTAAAATGTATATTTTGATTCCTTTCGATTCTTTTTGAAGTCCAAATATCAAACGTCAAGCTCAGCTATATGGGCAGATTGCTTCTTGATGATTATGGGGGATATATTGCCACAAGACGGGGCCCTTACTGACCTGTCAGTGTTCTAGTTCCATTGGGAGGAAGGTATTTTGACCAGATTTGAACAGAAGCATCCTATTGTGAAGGGAAAATCAATTTTGTATAAATGGTGGGTCTAGGGCCTGAGGGGTTGGGCCCATTAGAGGTAATTTGCATCTGTAAAATTATTATTCTTCTGTAGGAATGACAGGATTTTGTCAATATTTGGTAAAAAGCATCCTTTGGTGAAGGGGACTCAATATTGTATATACGTTTGGTCTGACCCCCTTGGGGGCAGAGGGGCCGGGCCCAATAGTGGAAACATAGCAAATTCTTCAAATTCCTCCTTTTCCTGTAGGAATGACAGGATTTTATCCAATTACATATAAATATAACCCCTGACTAACCATGTAATACATGTACAGCAACATCTGGCTATTTTAACTTCAATTTTGCTAACATTTCCAGGTGAGTGATACAGGCCCTCTGGGCCTCTTGTTACTGTTACATATACTATAATCATTCATGTATTGATTAGCCATCTTAGTTTGCCCTGTTGATTCATATTCTTCATCAGCAATTCAATTTCTGTAACATAAATAGAATTTTTTTTTTGCAATGTTTGGTAGGAAAATAATATGCATATTTCAGGCTTTTTTGTCATAGTCCAAAGTCCAAGTCAGTGTCAATTGCTGCGATCAGATGGTTCCAGATCTATAGCATCACTGTTTATATGTCATCTTCACTAAAACAATTATGGTTTGTAGTACTTGGTGTAGTTGAACACTTATAGATTTTAGATTATTTTCATAAAAAGTAAAGGCTATCTATCCCCCTCCTATAATTACCATAAGTCAATAGGTGACAATAGTATGCAGATATTGTTAAATTACTTTCTATCCCTCCGGTATCGCTAACTCTGGAATACTTTTTGCCAGTTTTTCTTTCATCGTTTTTCCCCCCTTAATAAAGGTGGGTTTATCTTGAGAGCAGATTTTAATACAGAGCATTGTAAATACATGTGAAGACTGAAATGAACACTTGGATTAGATAGAATTTACTGGTAAAAGGAGAATATTTAAACAAAAGTTTCCCAGTGGGTTACGTGTATGTTGATATTTCCGTTTAGGTGAGTGACCAGAAGAGGAAGTACCTGCGACACTTGGCCGACACCCAATACTCCAAAGCTGCTCACTTCTTCTCTGCTGTTGACTGTCACGTGGAGCTCCTACGCACCAGGCTGGAACACTTTGCTCTGTTAGAATTCATTTTGGCAGGTATGGAATGAAATCAACCATGAAATTTCAACACTAAGCATGTTTTGTAAAGGTTTTATGCAAGCAGCCTTCATTAATTATTTTCAGCATTTTCTTACCCTCGTTGCTATGTATTTGTAAAATAAAACATAATAGTTAGAGATATGCGAAAAATGCTTCAAGAATTTGACTCTGATCTTCAACTCATAAGTTTTTATTGTCTTTCAGGTCTGAACAATATGAAGCTGCGTCTCAAGACGCTGACCAGCGGTGTTGCACTCCTGATTGAGTGTGAGAGTGTTCTAACCGCTATGCTGGCTGCTGTTCAGGAGGGGGAGACTGATGACAAGAACAGAAAGGAGTCACTCAGTCTGTTGGGGATACTTGATACCCGGCTCCAGTTCTCCCTTCTACAGCTCGTCAAGTGTTACACGACCCTTAAACGCAGGTAGGCATTGCGTAATTCTGCCCTGTAATTCTGGGATGGTTTAGCATTACTATATTTACCTAGTTCAGTGTAGATACTTTTTTTTTTAAACAGGGTTGTTTAAATTGGTGGGTCTTAATTAGTTAGTTTCCTGATTATAACACATCTTATTTTTTACACAAGGGGTTTGGCATGGCAACTGTTAGTATGATAGGAGGCACCTGACTAATTAAACTTACATTCGGTTTACTGTACACTGAAAAATGAAAAGTCAATACTTCACCTGGAGGACAATGTTTTTGTGGAAGATGCATTTGATGGACCTACCAATCAAAACCATATTCAGTCTTATTATTCAAGCCTGAAAGGCCCAAGTGGTCCTGAATCTCCTATTTTTTTCTATGCAACTTGTAAAATAACCTTGAATGTAATTCCTTTTTATCTCTTACTGATTGAAAACCTTTTGAAATAATCACCAAATTAATGCATTTTTCATTGCCCTGGCTGTTCCTAGGTATGAGATTCTAAGGCTTAGGTGTCCAATATCTCTTTGAGATAATCCAAAACAACTTGAAAATTGCCGAAGGAGGGGAGCAGACCCTTTGTTTATACAGTGTTGAATTCTCATTAGACCAACATTTTGCTAAAATTATTTGACCAGTACGAATGGACACAACCATACATTATTCAATTTTATTGAGAAGTATAGTGCAAATATATTTTTCTGCCCCTTTAGTGCTCTTGTTCAAGTTTTGAAAGGTTTAGTCAAATTGTTAAATGTTTCACTTTACAGAAAATCAGATCAGGAGCAGTTGAAATCATTATATGCCAAGAGTCTGAAGAAGGCGTCCAGTAAAGGCCAGGAGAGTACCGGAGAGTGCAATGAAATGACTGCGATAGGAACTCATCTTGTTTGTCTGTTGACAGAGTTTAGGAAATTTTATAAGGACACACTCCTTCATGACCCTGGGTAAACAATCCAGTGGAGGTTCAGGGGGTTACATTAAGAAGACCAGTTTTCAAAATAAACTTTTTTTTAACAGGTAGGGATATAGTAAGACCTGTTCACCAAATCTCTTTGCGGGACATGATTTGTTTAAAGCAGTAAATACTGTACATGACGGTGGAAGTATTAATAGTATTATATAATGCGTCAACATTAAGGTTTTGCGTTTAACTTAGTTTCACTGAAAGTACATGTATAAGTGCTAGACGAACTAAACTTGCACCATAGATGCATCTTACGTAGTTCATCTCAACCCATGCATCAAATGCTGGATGCGGCCTACCTTTCATGGTCCTTTGACTTTGTCAGCATCTCCATCAACATTAAGGTTTTGCGTTTAAGTTAGTTTCTCTGATATGTGCATTGTTGGCTAAGTGTGGCACATGTGAGACATATCAATCCAAATGGCTTGTTCACTTATTAATTTTATATCATAGTTTTAAGGTATGGTCCATTTAGCAATCAGTAAAATCGAAAAAAAAAGTACTTTTATAAAAAGATGCTGGTTACAAGCCTTGTGATTAAACTACTGTAATCCTTTGTTTGGTTTAGCCCTAATTTGTCAATTATTGTCAAATTGATTATTTAAAGTGCAATGAATATTATTGTTCCGAGTTATTGGGAACTTATTTAAGTATGTGGTACAGTAAAATATCTTTTATTTATTACATGACTTAAGTTGGTCTTATTATTTTTCCCACAACCAAGTTGTAGGGAAACTATGATTTTACTTTTAATAGCTGTCTGTCATTGCTTGAAGTTCTGTTTTTTTGTTTACTTTTTTTTTTTATTTACATTTTTTTTTTATTTGTTTCCTTTTTACCCAACAAAGATTTCATGATTCTTGTTGGTTTGCTTACTTTTATCTTGACAAAATTCAGATAAATTCTGTTGTTGGAACACCTGGTCCAAAAAGCTTGTGAACTTTTTCCATGGTGCGGCATCAATATTTTGCTTTAAACAACTTCTTCTGAATAACCAAAAGGCCTAGGGTGATGATATTTGGCCAGAAATAAACTGGGATGAAGAGCTACAAAGTTTGTTCAAATAAATGACCTTCACCCATTTTCAAGATCACAGGGGTCAAATATGTTAAAAACTTTAAACAACTTCTTCTCAATGACCAAAATGCACAGGGTGATGCTATTTGGCCAGTAGCATGCTGAGATGAGGGGCTACCAAATTTGTTCGAATGAATTACCTTCATCCATATTCAAGATTACAGGGGTCAAATATGTTAAAAACTTTAAACAAATTCTTCTAAATAACCAAAATGTCCAGGGAGATGATATTTGGCCAGTAGCATGCTGGAGTGAAGGGCTACCAAGTTTCTTCAAATGAATGACCTTCACTCATATTCAAGGTTTACTGGGGTTAATTGTTTTTTTAGACAACTTCTTCTGAATAACCAAATTGACCCTGATGTTGATATTTGGCCAGTAGCATACTAGGATGAAGGGCAACCAAGTTTGTTCAAATGAACGACCTTGACATTTATTCAAGGTCACAGGTGTCAAATATGTTCAAAATCTTTAAACATCTTGTTCTGAATGTTCTGAATAACCAAAAGCCCCAGGATGTTGATATTTAGTCAGTAGCATACTTGGATAAAGGGCTACCAAGTTTTTTTAAATGTATGACCTTCGAATTCACAATATTCAAGGTCACTGGGGGCAATTGTTTAAAAAGACCTTTAAACAACTTTTTCGTAATAACCAAAAGGCCCAGATTGTTGATATGTAGTCAGTAGTATGCTGGGATCAAGGGCTACTATGTTTGTTAAAGTGAATGACTTGATTTTATTCAAGGTCAAAGGGGTCAAATTTGTTTAAAATCTTTAACGACCTCTTCTGAATAACCATGGGTCCCAGAATGTTGATATTTTGCAAGTTGCATCCTGAGATGAAAGGTTATAGAAAAAAAATCAACATAATGACCTTGTTCGACTTTCAAGGTCACATGTGTGAAATGTATTAAAACCTTTTAACAAGTTCTTTTGAATGAATTTTAATCATAAATACTGATATTTTGCCTGTAGCTTTATTTTAAATCACCTTTAAGGAAACAAGTGTGAGATTTATACCAGGTGAGCGATGCAGGCCCATTGGGCCTCTTGTTAAAGTCAGAGTTTATTCCTATTGTCAGAAACAGAAACAGAAAGAATAGTTCTTGAACTAATTTCTTAACAATGGAAAGACGTAACATAATTCTGAGTATGTCGTACGTCTTTTGGTGCTATTTGAACACGTAAATTAAACATCTTGTAGACAAGAAATGTTGCATGAATATGCGTTCTTATACTATTCCATTGCTAAACATGATCTGTTGACATATTCAAGATTTGAAAACTTTTTTTGTGAAGAGAAATTCAAATTGGGTACTAATCCAATTTGGGTCTTACCTCCTTACATATATTCTCAAGTATGTGTACAGACAAAATGATTTTATCCAGATAGTTTGAACTAAACTTTGTGACAGATGAACACTCAATAATATATTTTAATAAATGTTAACAAAAGGCATAATACATTTATGTGTTGTTATCTGAGTTAATATGAAATATGGGAAATTTCAGATTTTCAGTAGCGAATTTATCTGTAGAATGTAGAACATATGATCAGAATTTTAGCAAATGTGTAGTACATTTTTGTAGTAGCAGAAGCTAGACTTAGGTGTTGCTTTTCCGGCGACAGGGGCATCAACATTAAGTTTTTGCGTTTAAGTTACTTTTACTGAAAGTATAATAAGTGCTAGACCAACCAAACTTGGACCATAGATAGATGTATCTTAGGTAGTACATCTCAACCCATACATCAAATGCTGGATTTGGCCTACTTTTCATGGTCCATTGACTTTGTCAGCATCTCCATCAACATTAAGTTTTTGCGTTTAAATCAGTTTCTCTGAAGTTTTAAGTGCTAGACCAACCAAACTTGACATGTGCATTGATGGTCAAAGCGGGGCACAGGCCAGACATATAAATCTGAATGGCTTGTTAGTGAGTGTTACTATCAAAATGCAGGAATGGTTCTGGAATGAATATAAGCAGATATCTTAATATTATAAGCGTTTTATTTGAAACAATATTAAGAAAACCATTCCAAGTATTGAAAAATAAAGAAATAAAATAAAGCCATTAGTAGCCATTAGTTACACTTAGATTGTTTAAAACTGATAATAATTTGTTCCGTGTATGGAAATTCTTACCTTATGTTCAAAGCGTAGAAGAACACTAGATGATAAAATTATTCAAGTTTTGAGGCGGTAATTTGAGCTCAGAATACCTGTCAAGATTTCATATTTCCTAAGCCAAAATGGAGTAAATCTTCAATTTTTTGGAAATTTTCGGAAAGACAGTAAAACGTAAGCATGAACATTTATATAATTGACTAGCTTTTTATTACCAGACTGAAATTGCAATCTAGAAAATCTCATCAGAGCTATGAACCAACGAAATAAATGAAGAGTTTTGTTTGTAGTAAGAGAAAGGTTCATGTTCCATTTGAGGATTTATATATGACGGTAAATTTACACATATTCTGGGGGGAAAATCACGTATATTGTCAACACACAACGAGACCTTTTTTATACAGAGAAACCCTAACATAAGCAAGTAGAGTTATCGTCTGCGTGTACTTTAAATTATGTCCTATTAACAGTTAACCCAATAAGATTTGGGGTACACAAGTAAAATATTCCGAATTTGTCCAAGTAAAATATTCCGAATTTGTCCACAGCTGTGCTACAGGTTATTTGTTCGTTTCATTAAACAATATCACAACTATTTTTACACTTGTTTAACTCGATTGTGAAGGAAAGCATATATAGTAGTAAAAGTCATCATAAAAGAAAAACAAGAAAAAACATAAATAAATCCATTAAGACGACGTTGCAGCAAAGATAATGATAAAAGTTTTCCATGTAACAGATCCATTTTCAATCAAATACATTCTCAATAACAGGATTATAGTTTCATAATCGTTTTAAGTGCATTTGGTTAACTTAAATGGCATCCCTTAAGCAGTGTTGTCTGATACACAATGTCAGACGTTTTGTAACGAGAGAAAGAAATTAATTGTGTATTATAACCTAAGACCGAATGTCTTTTCGTCAATGAACATGTACTGCGTAAAATGTAGGGCTGAATGGTCTTGATATGGTATTCTGTGAACGTCAGTATTTAATCTGAAGGAATGTTCCGAAACTACATTGTAGCCCGTGTTTGTGTTTGTAGACCTGGCTCCAATGTAGCTCGTGTTTGTGTTTGTAGACCTGGCCCCAATGTAGCCTGTGTTTGTGTTTGTAGACCTGGCTCCAATGTAGCCCGTGTTTGTAGCCCTGGCTCCAATGTAGCTCTTGTTTGTGTTTGTAAACCTGGCCCCAATGTAGCCCGAGTTTGTGTTTGTAGACCAGGCTCCAATGTAGCGCGAGTTTATAGCCCTGGCTCCAATGTAGCCCGTGTTTGTGTTTGTAGCCCTGGCTCCATTGTAGCCCGTGTTTGTAGCCCTGGCTCCAATGTAGCCCGTGTTTGTAGACCTGGCCCCAATGTAGCCCGAGTTTGTAGACCTGGCTCCAATGTAGCCCGTGTTTGTAGGCCTGGCTCGAATGTAGCTCGTGTTTGTAGGCCTGGCTCCAATGTAGCCCGAGTTTGTGTTTGTAGCCCTGGCTCCAATGTAGCCCGTGTTTGTAGCCCTGGCTCCAATGTAGCCCGTGTTTGTAGACCTGGCCCCAATGTAGCCCGTGTTTGTGTTGTAGACCTGGCTCCAATGTAGCCCGTGTTTATAGCCCTGGCTCCGATGTATCCCGAGTTTGTAGCCCTGGCTACAATGTAGACCCCGTTTATAGGCCTGGCTCGAATGTAGCCCGAGTTTGTAGCCCTGGCTACACTGTAGCTCGTGTTTGTGTTTGTAGACCTGGCCCCAATGTAGCCCGTGTTTGTGTTTGTAACCCTGGCTCCAATGTAGCCCGAGTTTATAGCCCTGACTCCAATGTAGCCCGAGTTTGTAGCCCTGGCTACAAAGTAGCTCGTGTTTGTGTTTGTAGACCTGGCCCCAATGTAGCCTGTGTTTGTGTTTGTAACCCTAGCTCCAATGTAGCCCGAGTTTATAGCCCTGGCTCCAATGTAGCCCGAGTTTATAGCCCTGGCTCCAATGTAGCCCGTGTTTCTAGCCCTGGCTCCAATGTAGCCCGTGTTTGTGTTGTAGACCTGGCTCCAATGTAGCCCGAGTTTATAGCCCTGGCTCCAATGTAGCCCGTGTTTCTAGCCCTGGCTCCAATGTAGCCCGTGTTTGTGTTG